TTCGAAAGGAGGTATTTATATGAAGGTTAAGCCAATACTAGGTACCAAAAGTCAAGATTGAAAGTTGTGCAAATGAGTGGAGACACTGAGAAGCCAGTGAGAGTGCTCTCTAAGAACTCAAAACATTCGAGAGTTTGAAAAAATATTGAAAATTGTCGATTTGGCAGAGGGGCATGTGATTTGAAATCATTAGTTCGAAAGGAGGTATTTATATGAAGGTCAAGCCAATTCTACGTACTAAAAGTCAAGATTGAAAGTTGTGCAAATGAGTGGAGATACTGAGAAGCCAGAGAGAGTGCTGTCTAAGAGAGTGATACCTTCCCTATTTTTTTGAAGGCTTTTGTTCTTTTTTTTGGAGTTTTTTACTTTTTTTGGGAGGCCAAAAAGTTAATTTGGTTACCATTCGATTAAAAAAACTACCAAAAACCATTTTGCCAACAAAGTATGTTCTGTGCATTTAAAAAAAAACATTTTACAGTCACAATATATTTGAAGCAAACAAATACACCTGTGTTTTTCTTTCTCAAAATGTATAACGGTAATGGTATATGGTCAGAAAACAAAACTAGTAAAAAAAAAATTGCCGAAATTGTCACACAATTAGCGCCACAACCGAATTCAGTGTAATCTATACTAAGTTGCCGTCAACTAGTGAAAAGACTTTTGCAAGACTTTGTTTGGTTGCAAACAACTGACGAGAGTTCCATAGTCGTAGTGGTGCTAGCTTGATGTAGCACGTCTTGCATTTTATACAGTCTCTTATGTGACATAATTTCGGTGTGTTTATGCCATAATATATCTCTGAAAACATCTCTATGGATGATCATTTTTTGCTATTATAGTCAATTTAGTAACGTCATACAACTAGAGAGACAACATGAAGAGTTTTAGTTACTATTACAAAGTGTCAATGACAACACGAATAAAAGTGTTTCATTTTATTTTGGCAATAATGTTGTTTTCATTTGTACTTGGAATTGTTCATAATTATAATTTCATGAACATAGTAAAAAAACGACAATCGGTAAATGAATTTGAGAGAATCGATTGGCATGACTGGACACTAATTGAAGAGGAAAAAGCACGTAATGGACTTGGTGAACATGGAGATCCGGCGTATCTCTCTTCTTATCCCTCTTACTCGCAAGATATCAATGACACTTTCGGGTACAATGGTTATTTAAGCGATAAAATTGCATTAAATCGGTCTTTGAAGGATTTGAGACCACCCGCGTAAGTAAATTTTTGATGATGTGTATTTTTCGATAGCTTTTTTACTTTTTTCATATCAGGTGCATTACACAGAAGTACTTGGCTGTGTTGCCCAGCGTTAGTGTGATAATAATTTTCCATAATGAGCACTTGAATACTCTACTGCGAACATGTTACAGCGTTTGGAAACGATCACCAAATTCACTGTTAGAAGAAATTATTTTGGTTGACGATGCTAGTACAATGGCCGGATTTAGTAAAGATTTAAATGAATACGTTGAAAGAAATATGCCAATAATAAAGGTCGTAAGACTCAATAAACGGAGTGGATTAATGAAAGCACGCACATTTGGTGCAAAAGTCGCAAAGGGTGAAATATTAGTGTTTCTTGATGCGCATTGTGAAGCATACCATAATTGGTTGCCACCATTATTGGGTATGTTATTTATGTCATTAAATTTGTTCGTTGAACACTGTCAACATGCATTTTTCAGACGCAATGGAAAATGATTATAGAACGGTGGTGTGTCCAACCATCGATTTTGTCTCGAGTGACACATTTGAACAATATCGCCGAAGTTTTCAAAGTGTGTGGGCCGGTCGTGGTGTATTTAATTGGAATTTTGACTACAAACTGTTGCCGTTGTTGCCAACAAGCGAAAATTATCCCTCAAAACCATTTGAAAATCCCGTTATGGCCGGTGGTTTGTTTGCAATACACAACAAATTTTTTTGGGAGCTTGGTGCATATGATAGCGGACTCGATACGTACGGTAAGTTTTGTTTCGGAACTTCGTCAAATAATGCAATAAGGAAAAGTACATATGATTGCTATAGAATAAAAACAGCGTATGAAAAGGTCGCATTTCAAAGCGAAACACCGTCATACAAAATACAGCAAAAAATGTATGTAAAAACAACCTATGTTGTGCGACCGTATCATACGCTGTATTTATTCTAGAGAATTCATATATATATATATATATATATCGGCAATTTTAAAAAGATGAGAAATTAGTTTGCTTTGTTTCACCATTCTTTGAAATTAATTTCAAACAATTTAAAAGAAGGTATAGTCGTTTTCAATAAGATCTGTTACAGCGAACTGTCAAAATTTTGAACAAACAACATACCCTCAACAAAATTCAAACCAAATTGACACGTTTAACTAAGGAGCCTTGTGTACTTTTGAATGGAAATGCGTTCCGAAATGCATTGTATTAGTTTGACAACACAGATCTTTTTGGAAACGACTATACAAACAAAATAATAAAACCTAAACCATTCGATAAATTTCAAGTTTAAGACTTTTCAACACTATCTACGCGATGCCTAGATTCCGAATATGTAATTTTTTAAAAATAATTTCGGTGATCAAAAACCGAAAAAGGACATTTTCACGATTTTTTCAAAATACCACCTGCCGGTAATACTAATATTACCATCGAAATCATACGTCTGTTTATTATTATTCTTAAGAAATTCACGGTTACAAGTTGTAACTTACAACGGACTATTCAATCATAAATAAATTTCAAAAACTATTCAAAGCTTCTTGTGTACGTCTCAGGCTTGAGATTTATTTATAACTGAATAGTTCGTTGTAACCGTGAATTTCTTAACTCAATATCAGTCGATAGTAGTTAATTAATGTATCTTGTGTGCTACATGTATGTACTTTCCATACTAAATCTTACACAAAAGAGAACTAGAAAAGCAAACAATTAGTTATAGTATGATCTATTCAAATAAAATGATGCCAAGTTGCGTTTAAAATCCGCTGATTCAAGTGTCTATATTTAGAAAAACAGATTTTTATACTACATCAGTTATTCAAATAAATAATCACTTGAAATTTAATAATAATTAAAAATATAGGAGGTGAACAATATGAATTAAGCTTCAAAATTTGGCAATGTCACGGCAAAATGCTTGAAACAGCATGTTCACGGATAGCGCACATCTACCGTTCCCGGAAAAAGAACGTTAATACACATTTGCATTATGATTTTATTCATAGAGTAGGTGAACATTCAAAAAATTCGCTATATATTTTGTATGCTACGATTTTATTTTCTTATAATTTTAACGATTTTACATAGAACTACAAAAGAGTCGCAGAGGTATGGATGGATGAATACAAATATCATATTTATAATCGACGTCCAGTTGAATATTTAAATGTTGATGTTGGTGATATTAGTGAACAGAAAGCACTACGTAAACGGCTTGAATGCAAATCATTTAAATGGTATATGGAAAACATTGCATTTGATTTGTTGCATCATTTTCCAATCAATGAACCAAGCTTTGCATATGGTGGAATCAAGAACTTGGGAGTAAATTTATGTATTGATACATTGGGCAAAAATTGGCGAGCACCACTTGGTTTGTATGCATGTGCGCAAAATATTTCCTTTCCACACCCAGAACAATCATTTAGTTTGACACTGGACTACAATATCCGCTTACGCTTCGAGAAATACTGTTGGTCGATACATGATACAGAAACGATTTGGCTTGAGCCATGCCACCAAGGTATGACATCCAAAGGTTACATTTGGCGATACGATTTGGTAGGTATTTTTTGTATTGATTCAATTTTTTAAAAAAATATCAGTTTGCAATTTTCTGCTTTTTATTTCTAGGAACATAAATGGATAATTAATAAAGAGAAAGGATTTTGTCTTGACATTATTGATAATAAACAATTAGTTTTAAGTAAATGTAATCCAATTAATCCAAATTTAAAGTGGGAATTTGGAAATATAAATCGTACCGCATATGAAAATATTCATAAGTATAACTGGAACGACGACACCGAATATATATTATTTTAATTGTTCAGATACCATAAAAATATTTTCTTAAGTATGTAGAATGATTGAAATGGGGTTATCTGTTCTATATTTACCTGAAATCGTTTCGCGTGACGCAAATAAAACCATCTGTACAAATTTCATCTGAGTTACTTAACCTTTACAAATACATTTGTGGCTTGGATTTTTTTTACGCTCATCACATCGCCGACGGAGATCAGTTTCGATGAAGTATTTGAGTGAATAATTTCGTATGTGATCATGTTTTTATTGCGATTGATTTCTTTCAATTTCCGAAATGTGAAGAAGAAATTTTCGCATTTGAAAAGAAAACTTTCCAAATATAGACATGACCTGAGTGGAATTCTATTTTTCATTATTCTCGCTATATTATTTGTCGTATTCCTTAATTTGAAGAGTATCATTATCGCTTTCAACGTTCATATCTATGGAAAAGAAAGTATAAAAATCGATTGGCATGATTGGCAACAAATAGAGGAAGACGAATTACGGGTTGGAATTGGTGAGCATGGTGAAGGAGAATTTTTACGGTTTTATCCATCATACACGAAGGAAATCAACAATACTCATGGTTATAATGGATATTTAAGTGATAAAATTGCATTGAATCGCTCACTGAAAGATTTGCGACCAAAAGAGTATGTGAACATTTTCTATTACTGTAAACAATACAAGCAACAACCAAAATATTCTATTTCAGTTGCGTACACGAAAAGTATTCAGCCAATTTGGACAGCGTCAGTGTAATTGTTATATTTCATAATGAGCATTTGAGTACACTTCTTCGAACGTGTTACAGTGTTTGGAATCGTACACCGGCCAAACTTCTGAACGAAATTGTATTGGTAGACGATGCAAGTACAATTGCAGATTTGGGTAGTGATTTAAAGGAATACGTTGAAGGTTACATGCCGATCGTTAAAATAGTTCGATTGAAAGAGCGAAGTGGTTTGATAAAAGCGCGAATGGAGGGTGCCAAAGTGGCGAAGAGTGAACATTTAGTATTTCTTGATTCACATTGTGAAGTCTATCACAATTGGCTACCACCATTACTGGGTTTGCAAATTACTGCTATTTAAAATTTCAACGTCAAGTATAAATATAAAGTATAATTTCTCCATTTTCCAGATGCAATGATCGGAGACTATAGAACAGTTATGCTACCGACCATCGATGTAATTGCGCACGATACATATGAGTATCGTCGTCAGTTACATAAATACACTTATGCCAGTCGAGCTGTGTTCGATTGGAATCTTAAATATAAATTAATACCATTACTTCCATCAGCGGCTTTAAATATAACCAAACCATTTGCTACGCCTGTCATGGCTGGCGGACTGTTTGTTATTACGGCTTCGTTTTTCTGGGAGCTTGAAGGGTACGATGAAGGATTAAATACATATGGTAAATTGAAATTTGAGAATTTTTAATACTTTCTAACATTTATTACATCCAATATTGTAGGAGGCGAACAGTTTGAGTTGAGCTTTAAAATTTGGCAATGCGGCGGAAGAATGCTTGAGACGGCTTGTTCACGGGTTGGTCATATTTATAGATATAGACCGATATCTGTAAATTTGCACATTAAGTACGATTTTGTGTCTACAGTATGTATAGATCTTGACTCTTTACACATACACACACTCATTCAAATAATTGATTGGGATTTTAGAATTACAAGCGAGTTGCTGAAGTTTGGATGGACGAATACAAAGAGATATTGTATAGTAGACAGCCAAACCTTTATAATGACCTCAACATCGGCGATATTAGCAAACAGAAAGCGTTGCGAAAACGTTTACAATGTAAACCATTCAAATGGTTTTTGACGAATGTCGCATTCGATTTGATTGAGACATTCCCAGTGGATGAACCAAGCTTTGCTTATGGTGGCATTAAAAATTTAGGAACGAATTTGTGTGCTGACACCATGAGCAAATCGACAGATGCTCCACTTGGTTTGTACTATTGTGCAGCAAATATCTCTTATCCGCAGTTGACACAAACTTTTAGTTTGACATTGAATCATGAGATCCGTGTTCGGTTTGAGCCTCGCTGTTGGATTAAAAAACAAACAAATTCCGTTTGGATTGTTTCATGTTCGCGTGGACAGGAAATGCGCTGGATATACGATATTGTAATGTTTGCAACGTTCATTTGTTATTTTGAAACGAATATAATAGATGTTTATCAATTTCAGAACCACAAATGGATAATAAATCAAGCTAATGGTCACTGCTTAGACGTAGGTGCAAACAATCAAGTAGTTTTGACTCAATGCAAACAAAATAATCAGAACCAAATGTGGGAATTTGGAAATTTAAATCGCACTGCAACTTTTGTTTAATTAGCTTTCTTCTTCAATGTGATTTCACTGATTATTTTCCGATTATAATCAGCAATTTAATAACTTTCTGTTTTTAATCAGTTCGATGAATTTAATAAACTAAATAAAAAATATTTATTAATCAAGCTTATTGTGAAAGATCATTTATTTAGAACTATTTTAATTTGTATCCATTTTCGCCAATAAAACATTCAATTCAAGCAATCCTTATAAATGTCAAATTGAATCTCAAACAAAAATACCGTTGAAAAGATTTTTGTATTCGATAATATCAACCATATATGTATCTGGAAATTTCAGTTTCTGTGTTACGTTTATTGCATGTTGACTTTGAAAGGTTTTCTGTAAATGTAGAATATAATCTACATTTTCGGGGGCAATATTAACCGTTTTGTCAAACAACTGAAATTTTGTAGGTACAATATTATTATTTCTAATTGCTGCTAAAAAAATCATCATTGCTACTATCTTTTCTAATTGCTATTGTTTGTTTAATTTGAGTATGAAGCAAAAATCAATTTATTGTGCATTTCTAATTTTTGCAATAACACTAAAGATTGATTAATTTTTTCAAAAGTCCACTATTTTTGGTAGTTAACGATATAAAGTTGTTATTCTTCTGTTGAGTCATGGATATGAACTCTGTTTTTGCTCGCCAAAATATTTTTTTGATATTTCCAAAGAATTTCACAAAACCCAACGACAACCGATGCGGCCACTCCATAAAAGAACACCATCAATACAGCATAACATTCTGACAATCGAACACTTCCAAATGATCCAGCGTTTGAATCACATTTGGGTCTTGTGTCGTAAACTTTCAAAGTTTCCCGTGTTTGTAGCCCGTGTTCACGAATCTTAAACACACTTGGGAAACAAAAATATTTTTCTTATTTTTTTTTTTTTGGTTAGATTATCAATTTGAATGGAAAATTCTACTGAATTTAACGCACTTCACTTTGATGATTTCTTTCAAAGGCGAGTGTTTCTGAATGGCAAACCACGGATTAACCATGTAAGAGTATGAAATTTCAATGAGACCACATTTCTCATGTTCTAGAAATGTCTGTACAAATCAAAAATCAAAATCAAGTGAATAAGTGATATACGCGATATATTAATAAATGCACCTGTTTGATTCGATCATAGCCACTACCGAGTTCAACATAAAATGCAAAGAATCCCTGGCAATAGTGAAAAAGCTTTAAAATTTTTGATAAATTATAAAAATTCAAAAGTTACCTCGCGTACTCTATCTATGCCATAAGATAGATTGTAAAATTTCGGCTCTTGACCAGGTGGAGCGATTTTTGTTTGGTAGATTTTTCTTTGTGCATCGCCAGTCATTAGCGGTATAAAATGTCTATTATATGGAACATCTTGTACAGCAACTTCTATTTCTGAATTTAGAATGTCGTCGAGTGTGGATATACTTTTTGTTGTTGATTGTAACAAACCCACAATACACGCTGTATACGACGTAAAGACGAAAAGCAGGCACATCAACGCGACGAACTACTTTAAAAAAATGAATTTTCAAGACACCAAAGCATTTACATTGATAAAGTGAAGAATGAATTTTACCGATGAAATTTGACCAGAAATAATGCGAGGATTTATATGGAGTCCCATTTGACTAACTAAACCAGATGATAGTAATATAACATCTGAAAAAGCATCCCGAACGTGATCGCGTTCGCTTTCACTTGGCAAAATATACGTGAAGTATATTACAATTGAAGCGATCACAGTCAAAGTGACTGTTGCTATCCACACAGTTCCAGTGAAAGGGTAGTAAAATATCTATAACAATTTTTTTTATTAAGTCGATATTTTTACTATCGTTTAAAAAATTCTTGTACATTGCTTGCGTATGAGAGGGGCGGGGCACGAAACACAAGCTCTGCTCTCGTATCAACGATCATGCTTATAAAGTCCATTTGTGGAATTCGGGCTGGCACCTACGAAAATGATTTACTTACATTTTTGATCAATTTTGTCTGATATTTTCAACTTTTCTCAAGTTTCGTATTTTCTTTCAAATTTTCGTTTTTCTTTTGGTATTTTCTACAAAATTATATTACGGATATATAAATACCATATAGATGATTGTCCCACCAATATCAGCCTCTTTTCGTAACAGTTGCCCTGTCATACCATCGAATTCACCCGTTTGTGGATTTTTATAGCCCCATGTTTTTTCAACAGTAAAATTTGCGGTACCATTCATTGCTGCAACCAAATGCACACAAACGGGATATGCAGCTTTTGAAGGGGAATCAATTAAACGATCGCTGAAAACATTAAAATATTGTTATAACACAGAAACAAAAGCCACATATATTAATAATTTGGCATTTTTCGGCCAAAGACTTTTTAGTGTGAAACTTATTTTAAGCCCGTATTACTCTATGGAAATGTAAATACCGATAATCTGTTAAATGATTTATGGAGTCGTTATGTGTCAGAACCATTGACACCGAAATAATGCGACCTTTTAAATTCCGTCTTCTTTTTGATAAAATTCGATTAGTTCTATTGTCAAACAGTCCATCTGCAAAGCTCCATGTTCCAAACGACTCATAATAGACTTCGTTTGCTTTAGCATGAATTTTATAAACTGTAAAATGTCGGATATAATTACGTAATAGAATTCAAAATCACAAACTGAAATTTACACTGTTGTAAGATAAAAGTGCTCGATGTTTCGGAGCGAACAATTAAAATATTGCTATCGGTCAGAAAAGGAAGTTGCTCTAATTCGCTAATCTGAGCTTGATTGATATCATAAAATACCCAACGATAAGGATTCCCATAAAACCACCGATCACTCTGAAATCGTTTGAAAATAAATAATTTTTTTCGGTAAAAAAATTTAAAGACCTCTCACCATTGCCACAAAATTAATACTTCTTTCACATTTCATATCAACAATGAACCAAATTTTATTTGAATAATCATCTAATGGTTGTTTTGTAACAACATCATCGTAAGCAAATTCAACCAAAGAATCCATAGATTTGGAAAATACAATCATTTCACTTTTTGACCAACAAGAAGCCTTAACAATAAGTGTCGATGGAACATTCTCATTTTTCAGGATGTCACTTAAAAACTTTGTTTTCACTTCAATTTCATTCGAAAATATTTGACCCAGAAGAGTGCCTACTGACAATAATAAAATTGATATTAAGTGATTCATTTTTTAAATCACTTCCCAGCTGATAACGCCGAAAATTTTGTACAAACTGCAAGAATGTGACGGAAGTAAGAGAGATTTTATAGTTGGATGTTTTCCATTTTATGAATATTTCAATTATAATTGCATCGACAAAAAGTATTTGATTACTTATGATTGAATCGTTCAAAGAAAGTTAATATTGACATACCAATTAAAGTGTACAATTCCATAACAAAGTTTTATAATCGATTCAATTGATTTTTTATCGTTTTTTTTTTTCTTCAAAAAAGCATCAAAAAATAAAAATTATATGGTGTAGCTTATTTTTCAATAAACGTGTTTCATTTCATGGAAACCACTATAAAATTACTTAATCAGGCTTGAAATCACCAAATTGAAATGTTGCGAGTATCACCAAAATCTAACCTGAATTGAAAAAATATGGTTTACTTGCGCTTAGAGGGACTTTCAATTATAGGGTTTAAGTTTCAATGCAAAGTAATAATAGTGCAGCTGCAATTCATTACGTCAACGAGTACATTTTTCATTGTAAAAATTGCCAGTCATTCTAATAATATATTTCTTAATATCCTAGTTAATATCACTTTATGTTTGCTCACATCAATTTATCGACATACAATTTTCGAGAACCCATTATGAACATTTTATAAATTTCATATGCTAAAAGGAGGCCTCTCAATTTAGCATAGATTTTATGTAAGAATAAATGTTTTCATTTGCGTCCTAAATTTGTTTGTCTATTTAATTGAACAAAACTTACCTCTTTCGAACCATTCAAAACATGTGCAAGTAAAAATGTATTCTGACCAATTTCATTTAAAAATATGTCAATTTCATTTATTTTATTCTCGTCCTAAAAAATGGCATCCACAGAAATATATCGTTGAATAAATTGATTGTCTGTGGTAAGCTAGCCTCAATAGCAAATCTGCCATACACATTGAGAGGTTTACTTACATTCAATAAATAACCTGTAAACAGCAACCTGAATCCAACCTAAAAGCGAGCATTCATTAGGTTTTTGTTTTGAAAATGTAGACCAATTGAATTTCAAACACACACACAATTTATTACAACGCATAAATAATCTTAAAATTTTAACATATTTTTCAATGAATGTTCGATCAATTAACGTCCGTCTCTCTAATTGGGTCGCTTGTTTCTTCGTTAATTTTAAAGATAAAGAAATCATTTCATTGTAACTATTTCGAAATGAATAACCAGGTAAATATGTTAACAAGGGGTAAAAATTAAAATCAGTTGATAGAGTTAACAGTCGCGTTATTATGTGCAATTTATAATTTCATTATTATGTTCATTTATAGAATATTTCTTAGAAAGTAAGTGTAACGACGAAAGTAAATTGTGAAGTATTCAAACCAAAATATGTGCAAATCAATATAGACCTTGGAAATTATACCATCTGAAGTGAGTAGAAAATGGATTGTTTGGTTATTCAATGTCACCGAATGACTAAGTGAATCGATAAAACTATACCGTCAAACTATGTTTTTGATGTTGGTGTGTAAATATAGAGAGGAGGAGAGGCAAGATGTGTCATCTTCAATATAGTCGAAATGGTCGCGGATGAAATGCTCGAATGATACCGGCCGGTGCTGAGTTTTCATTGTTGTAACGAAATGATCGTAAATTGGTCGTTGATCTCGATGTGACCGACATTACCAAACATTCGGCTGGCAAAGACATTGATGCCGATAGTGATGGTCGCACATCATAGTCCCAATCCGACTAAAACACGAGCGAAAAGCATTTAGAAATTTTGCCACATTATTAATTTGAATGAGATTATACCAATTAAACTTTTAAAAAAACTCTCAAAAAAGCAGGATTTAAAAATCAAAAGTTCAAAAAATCTTTTGTTTTGATTGAAAAAAGTAACAAAATTATTATTGGTATCAAAAATTATTTTCAAAAAATTAAAATTTGTTTGAACGTTGTGTTTTATGCTGGTGAGAAAATAAAGCAAATTTATTCAAGGCATTTCATTACTTACCGAGACCTATTTTTATAATAAATTCATTTTTATATAGAGAGTGCGCAAATGAAAATAAATGGTGAAATCACTTTCAAATCGAATTTATATCCAATTTAGCAAAAATGTTATTTTCAATAATACTCTTCTCTCAATTATGCAGATTACTGAAAGGTGGTTTTCATCAAGCTCCAATCATGTGCGGATAACTAATTAAGCATTTAAATTCGTAATTTCATGTTTAGTCCACAGAAAAAAGCTTATACAATTACCATTGACAAAATAATACCATGATCGAGCACGATCGATTTATTTAGTTGTATTTTTCTATTTGCGGTGATCAAAAGCGGTATTGACTCTCAACTATTGAGGTATCAAAAGCGGTATTGATTGGTATTTAGATAGGATATACAATGAAGAGGGAATAAGTCACTGTTTAAAGAAGAAAACTCCGCTCACGGAAACACCTATTGGAAGTTATACTCGCAAAAGGTGTGAAAAAATCAAAACAAAATCCCTTGCACAAGGAAAAGTTTCTTTTCTTGATTTTTTACTTAATAAACACAAATCCTCTCTTTGCTGTATATCCACAAATCAATCTACCCCAAATGAACTATGGGTGCTTAATGAGTCACTTCAATTTTCTATATTTCAAAAATGTAATTATGGTACGAAAACAAAAAAACAATAAAAATGCATTGAGTTTATTTTGTTATATGCATTTTCATTTATAATAATGAATAGAAACTGGCTACAACAATGACTTGAAAAAAGTGCAGGAGATTTTTTTTTGTTTTACTTTATTTGACATCATCTTTTTTATTAAATATTTGGATTCTCTCATAATAATAAAATTAGTACAATCAATATACGGTTGCCATTTACGATTTGTTGTTGTTGTTGTTTACTTGATGATTTTTTTTTAAATAAGATATTATCATTACTGGATTGGATATTATATATCATTCCATGAAATGCGTAATAATATGAGACGCAATATTTATGTGTAAAGAGCAAATTGCCATAGCAAATAAGAAAAGAAAGATAATAATAAAGATATAATAACTGGTGTCAAAAAGACCATCTCAAAAATTCAAAACTTAAGAAAGAAAAACAAATGGTTGTGTGCATAGAAAATCTACGCGCGAACTATATATTTTACTACGTCTTATCTAAATTCAAGTATGTATATACGTGAAGGTTTAAGTTAATTTTTTTTATTGTTGTTGTTGTAATTTTTGCTCTCATTGTTTTTTGTGATATTGTTTTTAAATCTTTTTTTTTGTTGTTGTCTTTTTTTATGTCAAAAATCAATATATGTTACGTATAAAAAAAAAAGAGAACGAATGAAAAATTCCGTATTGCAAACGCATACACAGTGCATTTAATGTACACATACTACTCTTTTGCGCTTGCTTCGGATGATTGCTTTTCAGCAATATCGCTTTCTTTAGAACCAACCTTTGGCTTTGCAGTTCCATAGTCGGTCTTAAAGTTCAAAATCTTTTTGTCACCGCCGCCAGGTTTGTGATCTTTATTTTCAAGAGAACCAATTTTAGATTTAGCACTCCATTGCAATTTTGAACTTAAAATCTGTAAACATAGATAAAATACGAGAAGAGTAAATTTTGATTAATCGAGCACGTACGATTACATGTTGGTAACAAGTTAGGTGTATTGTTTGTACGCCTTACCTTTTTATCACCTCCTCCAGGTGTATAATTCTCATTCTTAGCTGCAATACGAGATTGAACATTGTATTCTAGTTTTTTGGTTTCTATTTTTATATTACCGCCTCCTGGCTTGTGAGTTGCATTTTGAAGAGATCCGATTTTCGACTTCACTTCCCGCAGTTTTGGTGGTGGAGCGTTACCAACTCTTATCTTATTCATCGGCACTATACAATCATTTCATATTTTATAAACTCTAGTTATTATTTTATTCGACTTTTTTTTAAGTGTACGATACCAGTTTAAATGTTTCAAACAGAACAAAATAGATGTCACATTCAAAAAATTACCTTTTTTCGGTGGTTCAACAGGTTTCTCCAATAGTTTCAACCTGGATCGCGATGAGCTTCGATTGATGTCCTCTTGGCTTTTATGCGAAGATGCCCGGCTTGTTGCACGAACACTTGCCTCTTCCTAATTGAAAAAAATAGTTTGCTTTTAATTAATTTAGATTATAAAGATAATTTGAACATGACCCGTCGACTATGTTGAATTAATTAAACCGAAATTCTTTTGATTCATGTGTGTTTACGTACCGCTTTGCCATTGGTACCGTTTTGCTTTTGTTCGTCTGTCGGTGATCGTTTGGCGACAATGGGTTTTGGTAAACCTGTTGCTTTTGGTGCAACATTCGATTCGGCATGCACGTTTTGTAAGACACTTGATGCATTTCGTTGATTTTGCGAATCAGGGCTTGATCTCATTGCTGATTGTTGTTGTTGTGGTTGTTGTTGTTGGTTTTGTTTGAGATCATAGTCTGCCTTTCCGCCAGATTGATCGATTTTCATCTGATTAAAGTTAAATAAATGAAATCCATTAGTAGATCATTTTTTTTTCTTCTTCAATAAATTTGAATCACTTACGTTGCCAATTGGCCGGACAATGACGTCGTCAACATCATCCGTGTTCGAAATTAAGTAGCTTGGTTGATTTGGATTTGCTGCTTCGGTTGCCATTTTGGTGCGTTCTTCCAAATGAATGGGCAATTTTTGGATATTTGGATTATAAGCTGGATTTATTGGTCTCGGTTGTGTTTGGATTTGTGGTCGATATTGCTGATTTGGCTGATTCAATCGAATGCCACCATCCGACGGTGTTAAATTTTGCTGTTGCGAATATTGTTGTTGGGTCGCAACTGGTTGTGATGGACGATTTTGCACTGGTTGATAATTTGCCTGGGTTGAATTCACTGGTTGTGCCTGTATTGGCGCACGAATCAATTGTGGTGGTGGGCGTTGCTGTGGCACTGGAGCCCGATTAATTTGCTGATATGGCTGCTGCCCGGGAGCTTGTTGCAAAGGTTGTTGTTGTTGTTGCTGCTGTGCAGGGGGTGGTCCACGATTTATCAATGGCCGAGGAACTTGAAATTGTTGTTGTTGCTGTTGCTGCTGTAATGGTTGCTACAAATTACATCGTAAAAATATTAAATAATTTTGTCTGCAATTATGTTTCGTAATTAAACCACTGAACTTCAAGTTGGAATTAAATCCAATGTTGTACCTGTTGCGGTTGTTGCTGTAAAATTTGCCTTGGCTGAAATTGAGGTTGCTGCTGTTGTTGTTGAATAGGTCTCTGAATTGGAATCTGTTGTTGACCGGCTTGTGGAACGACACTGCTTCGACTGTCAGTGCGTTGAATGGATTGCGGTCCAACTGGCAAATCTGTTGAAACAACTGAAGGTCGTCTTGTGATTTGATTGATCGTTGTCGATGACGGTGGCCGTGCGTCTTGATCTCGATTCGCTTGATTTAACGATGATGAATATTGCTGCTGCGACAATTGTTGATTCAGCTTCACCGATTCCTGTATAGGTTTAATATTGATAAATTGACAACAAAATGTTAAATATCACCACAAATATATGTTTTGTTAAAAAAAAAAAATTGTGAAAATTAGCGAGATTCGATCATAATTCAAGGCAATTCGCAAAATATCTGGATATACGCTTAATTTAATTTACCGCATCATTACCCTTTATTTGAAATATATATGGATATAAAAGATGGGAAAAGATATATTAATTATTAAAGTTTTGTCGATTGAATCAATTCTTCTAGCTAAACAAATATGGTTGATTCCCTAAATGACTGATGACTCAAATGGTTCAATACGACAAATGAACAATAGACGAAAAACAAAGTACGTTCCCGAATTGTAATCGATATTTTGATGTTTATTTTTAGCGACCAATTTTAGAGTGACGACCAATGACAAATGACATTTGTGTGCCTTCCCCAACCTATTTCGTGGTGTTGTTCATGTTGGCACTGGTTTGAGAATATGAACTGAACGACATGTACTGAAAATTAAAAAAAATGACATAATTCTCGACTCGTTCCCTGGTATATATGTATGCATAATAGATGATTATTTTCTTGGACAGAAACTACTTCTCCTCATTCAACCACGTTATATGGTTATTTTCTTCAAAAGCGTATTACGAAGTTGATAGTGTGACGCGAGTTCGATGCAATGAACGCATTGTGGTTCAATGTAGTTTGTGGCACACGGCATGGAAATGTCATCAAGACCAACTACATATTACAAATATAGAATGTTATGTACAACACTCGTTCGGACGAGACCTATCGATTTCTGGGGAGAGAGCCATCACATTTTTGTCGCTTTTAGCCGTATACGTAGTGTTTTTTTTCACTTTCTTTCCTAGTTTACGATTTTTATTTATTTCGCTATAACGTTTGAAAATCGATCGATTTGAATTGTGAGTGTTTGTTTGGTAATGCTGGATGAATATTGCGCTTTGTTCGAGACGCTTCTGTTGTCGACTCACACATTACAAGCCGAATGAATAATGCATGGATCTCGATTCTTTCGTTCAAATGGAAAATATGTGCACATAAAAAAAACAAGTATAACGTGCATTCGGTATGATACAATTGCAATAACATTTTGAGTGCACAAAATGCGTTTTTAATTTATCGAATGACCAACAAAAAACGAAAATGTATTGTTTTTTTTTTTAACGGAAAATGAAAGAAAGAAAAATCAATATAAAATATTCCACAAAAATACCTCGTTGCTTCGCATTTGCAATGGATCCATTTTGAACTTTTTTTGCACTCAAAATTCAATTTATCACACTGATTCTTTTTTCTTCAATTTTAAATAAACTTTTTCAAACAGTTTGAAAATTCAGAGATTTGTATGATCAACGTTTGTCTCTCTTCAATTTGTGTAAAATATTCGCTCGTGGATCCGTTTCTTTTCGTCTTGAAATTTCTCCAAATCTGTGCTCTCTATATTTGCAATAACACGGCTATTGTTATTTGTCTATTATTAGGTTTTTTTTGGCTTAATTTGTTCTTTTTTCTTTACCTAAATCGTAAAAAGAAATGAATACATTTCAATTCACCACAAAAAATGGCAAAAAATGTCGAGAATTTGCTCAAAATTTGATAATCGTGTTCATTACAGTGCTGTGATTTGCATTTTAACTAATATAATTTTGCGACTGCGATTACTTCGCAATATGGCCCAAAAATCTACAGCAAAACAACTCATGGGTGGTATACATTTTCTTCTGTATTTTTTTTTTATTTGGAAATATTTTGTCGTTCTAATTATGTTTTGTCATCAGTTTCATAAGCGAAACAGCAACAAATAAAAGGATATTTAAATACAAATTTAAGCAGTCACGCATATTGTAGACGTTTACTATTCGGTTCAAAGTGAGCTTAAGGTGGAAATGCCAAAAAAAAAAACAACAACAAATAAACGAAAAATCACCAAAATACGAAACAAAAGGACTAAAATCAAAACAAAATTGAATCAATAACCATACAAAAGAGAGAAAATCAACCAAAAAATGTGCAGCTTATTGCTGTGAAATGAGTAAATAAATAAAAAAATGCTCAGTTCCAATACTTGAATATTTTTGTTTATCCGTTTCCAACAACATTTCCAATCAAATATGTGAAAAACAGCGAGTGAGTGAGTGTAAGAACGACAGAACGGCGAAAATAATATATCTATAAATAGTTTCATTACCTATATTTTTCTACCCTCCACAACAAAATAATGTGAATATATGGGATTATTTATGAACTCCAACTTTTCGATCCCAATTTGTTTGTCATGTGCTCGCGAACGTACAATAAATTTAAAATGTTTGGTTAGCATTGTGTGTGCAAAAAATTGATAGACCAGCAAAGCAAACAAAACAAATATTCAAGAACCTAGTTTTTTTCAGTCGGAATTTTTCAACGCTGAAGTGAAAGCCAGTCATGGTAAATTTTGTACAAAAACCGATTTCATTTCGGCATATCAAGCGCACGTTGCATGCGGATTTTTCATATGTTTTTTTTTTGCTTATTCCAGAGAGTTTTTTTTAGCATAGTTGATTTCGGGGCTGAATTCGGCCACAACCTATGGGTTCTTTCGGCACATTCGTTAAAAGCGTAAAACTTTTTCTTCATTCGGGAACAAAAAAAGAAGAAGAAGAAGAATGGAATATATTTGAGGGAGTAGATAGGCTTTGGAACAACAACAAATCAATCATGTGTATATAAAATAAATTCGTGCGAATAAATGCCATTTATGGTTTGAACATTTAGAGATAATCGTTTGTTGATTAAATTTTACGATTTCAAACAAGACTCATACATATAACGAACTTCAATCTGATATTCGTGTCTTCATAAAATTTATGAAGTCGAATGTGGTTTTAATCGCTTCTTCTTTTTGGTTTCTTTCCATTGCAAAAAAAAATGGTTGCCAAGTATACATTTGTTGTTGCAATTAGAAGAGTCAAGCGGCCGTTTCGATCTATTTAATTCGCAAATGTATGCGTATTTTGTTATGGAGGGTATTATAGCTAATGGCTTATAAGCCAATTACATAGTTGCTTGCACATTCAAATCACTTTTCTCATCGTCTATATCGACTGTTTTTGATCTGTTTTTCTCTGTCTCGTTGGTTCTGTCTTGTTGTTGTCAATAATAATATACTGCAACTTCGCATAACAATGGCTCATCACTCGTTCGTATAAGAATCATGTCTTATATACGCATTTTTGACTCAACAATAGTTCTAAAATACTATATGTGGCATAGTCACTCCATAAAATAATCGAAAGTTCCTTCGACAACTACATGAAAACTTCTTTTTTCTTCACTTTAGATAAAAAAATATAATAAACATTGCGCTTCTGTTGCCGTCGAACAGATAAAGGAAGAAGCGAACGATTTGCATAAAATTACCGAACTGTAACTTTATATCGAGAGTGATGTGATCACAACATACAGTTGTTGTTATTTTTCAGCGTGTATTTTTATTTCGGAAGATATTAAGTCATCGTCATGCGATATACAGCAGAATGAAGTAATCAACAGAGAATAAACAAGACACACAAGCGCTCGGCATTTATGTGTTTACCCATTCCAAGGTGTATGCAAACAATGCAGAAAAAAAATACATTATAAAAACTCACGGAACACCTTTTTAATATTATTTCCATATTTTATTCTACATTATAGTTTTATTTTGTTCTTTCTTTATTTAGAAACAAAATAATGAATGCGAGAATAAACATAATCGAAATGATACAATTTTTATGAGAATATGTCGCAGCGGCATGTATCTATTTAAAGTTTGAAAAAATCAATATATCGATATGAATTGCTGTCGTCCGCGCGCACTCACATACACTCAGTTCAATTCTAATACTATCATCATTGTGGTTGACGCAAAAACATAATTTTTAATTTTAAGCTTATGTGTCGGTCGACCGACATTTCAATAAATATATTCTTTCCCTCCAAAAAACAGTGTAAACAATTTCAATTAATTTTATGAAACAATTTAAAACGAATGAAGTAAAATTAACAGCAATAACAAAAAAACAAAACAAAATATACACATTGACCCACTCGAAAAAGCCATAATATTCGAAAATACATTGAATTCCAGTTTGTCGGTTGAAATGGAATCGAGAAGACAACAATAAATGATGTAAAATCCAAGTGTGTAAAAACGTTTCATTAGTTGGTGCTAATTCATATAGCTTTTGAGTTTCTATATCTAATCTCTATATATTTCTTCATTTTCATTACACACCTAGCAAAGCGTTGCAAGTATGGTTGCTGTGACGGCGGCAACACGGCCACTGTTAAATACTACTCGGGTGAACGAAATTCGTACGATTGCCAGAATCTAAACTATTTCGCATCAAACATTGTTACATTGGTGTTAAGTTAATTTGCTCAAAAAGAAGCATCGAACAAGTGTGTAAAAATAATAGAAAATGAGCCTAAAAAAAATATTACTTACAATTTGATGAGTTTCCTTTTTTTAGTTCATCGAAGAAAACTCCCAAGAATTATATAGCTGAATGTGAGAATTTATTTTTATTGATTCTCACATAAATCTTCGTATTTCACACTGTTTTCTCTAAAAAATTTCTTTATCGCTTTTACTCTCTCGCTTCCTTTCATCAAATCTTCTTCCTCAAAAATGTGCACTTGCCAAATTTTCGCTTCGATTTTATTTTCTCCTTCTGGTTGTGACTTTTCTTTTATTTTCGAACGTGAAAAGAAACGCGCACTCAGAACAATGAACTCGCTGCTATTGTTTGGTCAGATTTCTTAATGAAAAAAAAGGAACAAGAAAAACAAACACTTTGATTTAGTGAATTTTTCACACTTTTTGATTCGAAAAGTGGCGTTGTGGAATGAAAAATTCAGTATGGCTGAATGTATCCAGATATTTCTATATGGTATTTTTCCTTTGCTAATATATTTCACAAAACTTTTTGAAACGTTTCTCACGGCACCGTAGCTCGACTACTGCCAATTCAACATCAGGCTGTAATGCGTTTTGGTCGAAGTTGATATTTGCAATTGTATGTGTACTGTGTGTATGTGTGTGAGGAAAGCTTATCAACAACGACACTCTGCAAAGGATGGATGGATGGATGGGCACACACAAGCACACAATGGCAACGCGTTTCTGTTAAATCAATATATGTATCACAGAAAAAGGAAAAATGATTTTACGATTTTGTGCGACGGTGGTGCTGCTGCTGCTCTATGTGGTGATTTTACCTTATTATTATTTGCAGGCCCCTTTTTTTCGCTTCTTCTTTAAAAATGGGTATTATTTATTTGAAGTAGTCACGAAACATAAAGAGAAAAAAGACGTTACACGTTTTACTTCTTTGTTGATTTTCTTTTGATTGCTGTCAGTTCACTTGTTTGTATTTGGTTTCGCCAAATTCAGTGTGTGTACGATAATAAAACGGGAAATATTAAATGCGCAAAAAAATTGTTATGGATGAAATCACTACGCACTCTGCGCCGTTACTTACACACAAGTCTTGCGAACGTGAGGAATGTGGTCATACAGTTCAAATGACCATAAATGTCAATTTTGAAAGTTTCACTTTTTCTCAATAAAAAAAGCCACACTTTTCGTACTGCATTGATTGATAGAGAATCAATTTATCTTCGTTTTAACAGCACTCTCAATGAACACGCCGATCAATTATATAATTTGAAAGAAATCAAAAGTGTTTTTTTTAGTTTGGTCATCAATTGCGTTGTTAACTGTATTTCTGAATTCAAAGTGGTGTGTTCTCATCTATTCGCACACCGTCGACCCGAACAGCTTCTGTTCACTAAAACGCAAGTACTCGAACTGCACTTGCGCGCGTATTCAATACACAGTTGTTGAGAACTTTGTATATTGGGTGTTCGTATGAAGATACAACGTTGACGATGTAATGTCACGAAACACTCACACACATGCACATACACGGGCATGTGTGATGGTACTACAATTCGCCGCCGAATGTTATTGTTTACGAAGTCGTGTCTATGACTTGTGTGTGAATTTCAGCTCGCTCAATATCAGCCATCTCATTCTCATACAAAATGAAATAAAAAAAAAACATGACGTAAACATTCGCAGAGAAATGAAAACAATCATTTTTTTATCTAGTTATCATTCATTTTGCCGACACTATAATAATAGCTGTTCTTTTTTTCTTCTTATATCTGACTTTTTATATACTTGTCGTATGTCGTGTGTAAAACTAGCTTCAAAGCAAGTAGAACTAGTAAATTACATGTTGTGTATGTGGCTGGCGATGAGAATATATATACCTATCCGTTTGCATGCGGTATGAATTACGAATTTCTCCACTCAGTTGGCTACGTTTATGAATCAAAACGAACATGATTGAAAGTGTCTCACCACAATTATTTACAACAATATTTTTTTTCTTCTTACTGCTTGTTGAACGTTTTCAATAGTAATATACTGCTATTAGCAGTGACAAGTTTGATTCAAAGAAATACCAACCTGTTGTCTTAGTCTATCAGCGATGTTCATTTTGATGCAATTAAGACAATTTTCAATTTCAATCACACATATTGCTGCTAACTTTGGGTCTTAAGCGAAAGCCAAAGCGAAATCTTTAAGTGCATCCAATTATAGCAGAAAATGATCATTTTGTCATCATTGAGTGTGCAAACGAGTTGTGCAAAAAATTGATTCAGCTTTTTTCACTTTTCAAATGCTTGCCTTTCATTTATTTTTTTTTTAAATAATTTTCGAATATAAATGACGAAAATTTGTGATTTGTTGAGGTTGAACCGATTGTGTACGTCTAATCGGAAAACAATCAAACGCTAGTCTAGGTCATGGCATAGCCTGGAGATATCTCTGCAGTTGTTACTTTTGGCAGAAGTAAGGTTCGGAAAATGAAATTAAATTAGCATCTACTTAGCATAACATTGTTGGAAAGAAAGAACGAGCCACAAACATGCCGCACCGAACCAAAGTTTGTTTAAAAAGCCACATTCAAAAAGGGTTTTTTTCGTGGTTCCTTCAAACAAAATACATTTGCAATAAATAATAATATTTGTTTCTTCTCGTAAAACGTAAAATTTTTGGTCTCTATTGCCAACCGATTAGTCTTTCTAATGCACAATCAAATTTATGGATGAACGTGCGCAAATTCATGTTCAATAGATATAAAGTAGGAAATCCGTACCGTGACTTTTGAACATTTGATTCCAATGTTATGCTGTGCGGTGTTATTTTTGTATGTATTTTTTTTCTCTCATCTCGCTGGCGATGGCACACGCGAATATGTGCATTTGAAATGAACTATAGCTATACCTCTTTACAACTTGAACGCAAGAGAAAAAAAACACCGTGTGTAGTGCATGGATGACAACATGTTGCTTTGTATATTGCTCACAAAATAGCATATAACGCGCGTGTATTCTTTATTTATGGTACCAGTCGAAAATGTTTTCATACAATATAAATCAGACCTATTCATTCTACAAACTAACTGTCCTTCGCTAGTCTTTTGCATAGCAGCGATATTAACGTTTGCATGTTCGTTTCATTATTTCATTTTCTGTGGCGTTCCCATGGAAAAAAAGGCAAGAGTTTTTTTTTTAATACTGCACCGAGCCAAAGGTATTTAAAACATGGGCTTGCTCGATGATAATATGCAATAAAAAAAAGAGAATGAAGTGACCAGAGTTAACAACATAACATGCGAGATGCGACATGACGACGAGCGGACATTTTTTTTCGATCATTTTGTCTTCTTATTTCTTTTCGATTCACTTTCATTGGATATGGTGGCGTAGCCATTTATTTTTAGAAATGCTTTGTTTTAATTCTCGCATGCAAATAAGAATGAAATACTATTTGCTCATTCTGCTCTTTTTCTCTCTCACCCTCACTCCCGATTTCTCTCTCATTCGGCATACATATTTATGATCTAATTCAATGACTACTTACCAGCACAACATGAAATCATGAAGTCGCCCTGCTTCAAACGAAAAATGTGCTCACGAAAATAAAGAATTATCCATTGTACCTTTCTCAGTGTTCAAAACATTTGAAAGAGCATGTTTACGTGATTGCGCATATCATCATGCGATTTAAATCGAACGAACTGAAAGAAAAAAAAATTCAACCCAAATCGATTAAGTATGCTCAATACAATAGAATAACGAATAGAGCATTAAACCTTATTTTATATTTGATTAATCGCCGAGATATTCATCTATCAGTACTCGATCACTTGAACTTTATTGAAAATAGAAAATAGATTAGGCATTCTCAATCCATTAAACTGATAAAGCCATATATAAATTCTACTTTTGGCAAAATATTCCGTTTTTTCTGCAAATCAAACAAAAGTAATTACATAAATCTTCATAAATATGAACCGTCGATTTTCGTTTATTTCTTCTTCTCTCAAACATTCCGCTTTATTTAGATAAAATAGTATAAGTTTGGGCGGATTAAAATTTCACAGATTCAGTGCGTTTGTTTCGTTGAATGTGGGTGAAATATATTTGCATATAATAATAAACCGAAGTGAAAAAAAAGTGTAGGAGAAATGAAATTCTTTCAAACAGAGAGGATCAACTGTTCAGTGGTTGACCGACTGATTGTACGCTATTTTAAAACGTATCTTTATACAGATCTTATATAAACATTACAAATGAAATAAAATTGACGATGCCGATCTACTGAAAACTAAAACATTTTCAGAAAATAAAACGATTTTCGACAAATTTACGGTTTCCAATCAATTTCGGTGTTGATGTTTTAATTTTAAAATTTTGATTCGAAATTCTTCAAAAATGATGAAAAATGCTTTTCTTTGAGTATGGGGGTTTCAAAAAACAGCAGATAAAAAATATATGTTCAGTTCAGGGCCATACTCGGTCATGCATTTGGTCATGAGCTCAGTTGACTTTTTGATATTTATTCAATACACCCTTGTATGAAATTCCTCGAACTTTTTCACATTCTTAAAAAAGTTAAACGCTACTTTTACTAATCCAAAATAAAAGAGGAAAAAGTTTCAAAATATTTTTATTTATTGTGTAGTTTTTATATTTGCAATTTGTTGGGAACAAAAGCAAGAATTCAAAACTCAAAAATTACACTCATTTCTGTTTTCTTTTTCTGAAAAAAATTGTCTTACTCGGTCTTACTTCCTTTATTTTAAGACTATTTGAAACTTTTGATTAATTTCGAAAGAATAAAATATTCTGCATATGTATTTTTATGTATTACGTAGAGAGAGAGAAAAAAGGTTATGAAAAACTCGCACACATGTGTGTTCCAACTATAAATTTTGCATGAAAATATGTGCAAAGCATGAAATGACTTAGTATCCATTTCAATGCCTTTGTCTACACTAATCCTATGTACAGTAGACGTTTTGTGTTCAAACGTCGTCAAATTTTTCAATGTGCCAATAAAATGTATTACTCAAATAAACGATGCATATTTTTTTTTTCATTTAAAAATTGTACTCTTTTTCTTGAGAAAAATAAACATAATATCGTCACTGAACGCTTATTATTAAAAAAAGAATTGGATGTAAAAACAACTCTTGAGATAGCTCCAAAAATATCTTCTTCATATTTTGTTTTTGAATCGCTCTGTTTATGAAATGATGCGAAGAAAGGAATTTTCTTTGGCTGAAGTAAGAATGTAATAAAGCAAAAAAAAAAATGTGATAGTTTTTCAGTCACTCGGATTTCTTACTTTTGTCAATTTAACAATTTCCGTGCATTTCGTCGTCATTCAGTCGGTGTATCGGCGTCGAATCGAATAGCATCATCGTGTCCCAAAATTAAGGTGTACGAAAAACTTTTATCACATAAAAAGCGGTCTGGTACATTTATAGCATTGAGAACATAACAATCGTATGCGGATTTCGTTTCGGTTCTTGTTTTTCTTTATTTTTCACATCGATCTTTTTAATTCCCGACAATTTTTCTGAGGAAAATCGATTCACATATGTCTCACTTTCTCTCTCTCTCTTCCTTACTTCGATGTGCCAAAAAATAGACCGGGTATTGAACAAACAACATTTCGCATTTCGTCTGTCTATGTGTGTGTATTACGTTAATAACAAGTCGGGGGCTCACGAAAAGAAAAAGAATTTTTTTTGCCGATCTGATGAAAGAAAAAAAATACTTACAACAGAGAACTTATAATTTGACTTGGATTCGTTCGATATTTTTAAAAATAGCATAAGCTATGTAGGCTTTTGTGAATGTATATGCGCTGATTCAGCGCTCACATAAGGACAGAAGCGAATGGTATGTATTGAGTCTGAAACCAAATTCATTGGCCAAGATTTCACAATAAAAAGTTTTCATTGAATTGCTTGCGATTGGGTTCGTTATTTGCTCGGAAATCCAACCGAACAACCGACTACGTAAATCGAGATTGAACGAAACCGAATACTTTTTCATCGGTACGTAGGTGACTTGGACCACGGCTCATTCGATATTCACTTTTCGATCGTTGTATCAGTTGAGTGCTTTACCAGTCAAGACAGAACACAAAACACAAAATCACACAAAATGGTGAGTTTCAATCATCTCTTTTTGTCGTCAGTGATTTTCCAAATGGAAAATTTTCTGCGTTTCATAAGTGATTATAATGAAAAAAGTGTTGGCAAGAACGGGAATTTGATTCGTGTACATGGATAAAACGCGAAGTTTTCAAACAATATAAAAAAGAAGATGGATTGAAGTAATGATTTTACCAGCGATGAAATTGTGAAATTTTCCCAGTTATCCCAAATTCATCAATTTTTTTTAAATCAATGGTGTAACAAGTGTTTTTGAAAGAACTTTTTCATAAATTCTTTCTTATGAAACAAAAAATTATTGCAAAAAAAAGAAAACAAATTCACGCAATTTTTGTCTGAACGTAATTCTCAGTTATGTGAAGTAGGAAGTTGATCAAAGGAATGTGCAATTTTAGCGCATGCGTCGAAACCAATTATTTTAATAATTATCAAAATATTCGACGATGTGAAAATTAAAATGTGAAATGATGGTTTAACCAATCAAATCAACAAATTTAAGATTTGCATCGTTTTGAAGTAGAAAATGTAATGAAAGAATTTTTAGCTACATAAGGCATATGAAGAAATCAATGTCGAAAAGATATGTTCAACATTTCGAATTGCACGATATTTTTTCTCTCTTAAATTTCGGTTGAGTCGCAATGAAATTGCAGAGATTTGTGGTATTTTAATCTAAAAATAACTACAATTCGGTCAACATATTTTTGCTTACTACGAAAGGCAAAGAAAGAAAGAGAGCTGAGAACGAGCAACACCTACACCTTTCTCTATCCGATCGCATTCGCAACACACATGAGCATAGGCGATCCCCACATCTTGTGTAACCGTTTTTCATGCTGAAAAGGATCCACAATGAAATGAAAATAAAAACGACGATTTTTTTTGTTACGTCAGAATTGTTTGCGTTGAGTTTTTTACTCTCGCTTTTATCTCTCGCGCAATGTTTGCACGGTGAATGTGTGGGAGTATGAGAAGAAAAATGCTTCTGATCGCTTGCACACAAATATGTCCCCCAATCTTTTAAAATGATATACTTAATTTCAAAAAAGAAAATATTAAATTTCCTCTCTTTTTCCAATTTTAGGCCGATTTACCAAGAGCTGATGTTGAAAGTGAGTATCGATCGCGACAGAGTTGGAATGTCAGCCGAATGTTTCTCATTGTGAAAAAAAAAACATTTTTGAAAAAATCTCAATTTATTTGTTGATGGAAAATTCAATCGTTATTGAATTCGGATTTTCTAAGCTTGAAATGGGACTCTTTTTTATTTGCAAACTCTGGGCCGATGAGTAATGCGATTTGCTCTCTATCATACATACGAGTGTGTGGATCGCTTAGAATGTGTCTAAAAATAGTGCCGCATTCAAGCGAGATGTGATTTTACCTCGGTCGCTCGATGTTGTCTCGGCTATTTAATGATCACAACATATATGGGGTTCTTTCGTGCGAGAAACATTCACTTGACTTTTCCCAATTCTATTTAAAGCTCGTCGACGTTGACGACTTTGATTGACTAAACTAATTGTTCCATTGTTGCTGATTCGTTTTTTTTTTGTCTTTTTTTCTCCTCACTGAATGCAGAAGCCGAATTCGCTTTCTCCATCTATGATGCAGATGGCACAAAAAAGATCGATGCCCATGATCTTGGCGATGTTTTGCGAGCACTCAATTGCAACCCAACATTGGCTATGATCGAAAAGTTGGGCGGCACCAAAAAGCGTGGTGAAAAACTCTTGACACTCGATGAATTCTTGCCAATCTTCGCTCAAGTGAAAAAAGACAAAGAACAAGGTTGCTACGAAGATTTCATTGAATGTCTTAAATTGTACGACAAAAATGAAAATGGTATGATGTTGCTCGCTGAATTGAACCACGCTTTGCTTGCTCTTGGTAAGTTCACACTTCATTTTTTTTAGTCACCGTTATTCAATTTTCAATAACAGCCAAACGATATTATAATTATTTGTCTTTTAAATCATTTTAATCAGGTGAACCCCTCGAAAATGAACAAGTTGAGACTTTATTCAAGGATTGCATGGGTGAAGAAAATGACGATGGTGAAATCAAATATGGCCGTAAGTGTTCATATACAGTAGATATGATTAAAGTTGAAACTGTCCAGTAGGATTTGGTTAAATGTTTGTACATCATTTGATGATTGAAGTTTGTGTTTCCTTGTATATAAAGCACACATGCAAAATGCCTGAATCTGAAAAAGTACGGATTTTATCAGATTTTATAGAAATCTATTGAAATTGGCTAACTTAAATATTTCAGATTCAGACATTTTACTTGATATATGTTGAATGTTTGTTACATCTGTCAAGAATGTGATATAAAATCTAGATATTTATCTTATTAGATAGAACTTTAAATATTAGATTTTTTCGAGAAACAAAAATTTTTTTTAAAATTTTTTTAGATTTTAATTCAAAATTTATTATATCAATGAATTTTCTTTTCTTTTTCAATTCGTGTTTTATGTACAAACCTCTATGTAAAAAAAAAAAACAAATCAAACACCGTCCGTATCACACAAATACGTCAATCCACACTCATTCTATGTAAATAACACCCAAAATCCAACATCAACGACGACAACAACAACAGCATTCTTGAAAAACATGATGTTTATGGCTCCACTCTTACCTTAGATACATATATACATACTTATATATAATCACACATCTGAAATAAATAAAACCACATTTCTGTTGTAAATTAAAAACAAAAATATTATATGTATATCTGTCGCATCACCCGAAAACGAATAAGTAAGTACGCCATTTCAGGCTCTGTGTTTTATACATCCGAAATAAACCTAAATAGAAGCTACTGAAAATAGAACATTGATTGTTTAACGTTCACATTTGTCCTTGTTTTTGTCATTTTTAAAACGAGTCAATATTGACCCATATATTGTTAACATTTCAACTCTATTTTAATTTATTCAAATCATGTGATCTCTTCGCTTCTATGTTACATCCTGTAAAAAGTATAAACTAATTGAATTATCCTCTTCTCTATTTTTTTTCTTCTCTTATTTATTTTCAGCATTTTTGGCTGCGATGTGCGAGGTTAATGTTCAAGAAGACTAAACCAGCTTCATCTTGATTCATTTCATTTTATTTATTTATTTTATTTTCTTTTTATAACTTCTTTAAAAATAAACTGAATAAAGCGGCATTCACTTATGTAAAAAAAAAATTGAATAATCCGAAATTTAAAACACAAAAAAATTTCAATAAAAAGCAAAGAAAATATATGAATTTTGCAAAATTTTAAATCCAATCATTCACCACTTTCACACCGATTCACTTATATTTTACACTAAATATTCCAATCCCTTGTGACGAACGATGACTGAACAAACATTTTATCGACAATTTTTTTTCCAAATTTTGGCTTTGAAAACCAACTGAAAGGAAAGAGAAGATAAGATATCAAAACGAAATCATTCATTACAATGTTACACAAGGGTTTGATTTTATAAATAATATTTGCATTTGATGAGAATTACAATTTATAAATGACCAGATTTCGATTTAAGAAATAGTCATCTCAAACAATTTTAATGGAAAGATGAGCATTAAACAGTGTAGTCATTTCATGATTGGTTTCATTTGTTTTATTTGATATTTATTTTACGAAATGCTATACATTTTAAGGAATGGTAGGTAATTTCAATCTGGTCCACAGTTCCACTTATATGATACTTCCACAATGTGAAATGCTGTCCAAAGGTCTCGTTTGATGTTATAAACTCTGAAGACGGATGTACAAGAGATGCTCGATCTCTTTGTCAATCAAAAATCCACATTTTGATTCCACAAATTTGTGGAAATAAAACATTTTTACATTCTGGGGTAATTTTTTCAAATCCATTTTTTTATTATTTTTGATTTTTTTTTGCATCAACAGAACTGGATGTTATTCATTCACATTTGCAATTCCTTAGTTTTTTGTTAATTTTTTGTTTTGTTTAATTTAATTCCTTAACTTATAGAAAAACTTTGATTAATTGTCTCTTAAAGATTACATGTTTACTAGATAAACTAAATGAAGGTTTTCTTTTAGATGCTTCTCTATGGCACAATAACATATTCTTTCAAAGGATTTTCTTGTTAATTTTTAGTAGAAAAAAAAATTGAATTAAGTTTCTGCAAACACATGCCGCATCTCTTTCTTCGATATAGATAAGAGTTTTTTTGTTTTTTTTCATGTTAAAAAAATATTGTTGCTGTCATAAAAATGCATCTCTGTTGTTCGTTTCATTGAATGTATGTACTTGTGTTTGTGTGTTGGTGAATGTAATGTGTGTATGCGTTTGTGTGTGTTCCTAATATTTAAGTGAGTGTGTATTTTGAAATGTGCTTTACAGTTATGTGCATTTGAATGATTGCTTCCTCTTTTTTTTCTGCGATGTTGTTCGAAATTTCATCAATTGAAAATCTTAGTTGTTCTTTTGTTTATCATAGAATAAAATATAGTGAACTGTGAAAATGATAGCTGCCATCACAGAATTTTATGAAAAAGAAAAAACAACGAAACATTTTTCGTAATAAATAAATGCAGGTTTTAAGCCTTACTTCGATGTATAACAAGGTTTGTGTATGTGTGTGTGTATAAAAAGGTTTTTTTTGAGATTACGCGAATTCCTTGGAATTTTTTTGCTTGTTTCAAGCCATTATTGTTTAGTTCAGTTTGAATTCTTTGCACGGTTGATCGCGCAAATGAATTGGTTTTCTGTAGAGGCTATTATTTTTTTGTTTATTTGTGTGTGTGTTGAGTGTGAGTGTTTGTTTGTTCGGATTGTACAACAAGATTTACATGACAATACACTTTCGTTGACGCCGTTTCATTGGTTCTGGTTTCAGCACGGCTCGAACAGCTTCATCGAATACCTGGAATTGTCAAAACGAAAGAAAAAAATCGTTGTCACATCTATTCAATAACAAATGAGCACGTTTCATGCTAATTAGATGCTACAATGCCATTAGCATCTTGCGATCGACAATGACAAAAATGATATTAAGAATAAGATGTCAAACCTGTTTTAGTCCTCGTTGCGTTAGCGCTGAGCATTCCATATATTTTACGGCTCTAATTTTATTGGCTAATTTTTGACCTTGTTCGCGCTTCAATGGCGACAAACCTTGCTCCGATAAAGCACTTAACGTTTCTCTGTCATCCCTTAAATCTATTTTGGTACCTATTTTAAAATGAAAAAAAAAATTAAGAAAAAAGATGATGAAACCGGTTTTTTGAGACTCGTTTACATATTTGTCTTGCAAAAGAGACCATTGAAATGGGAATGAATCACTTTTTTTTTGCTCAACTCACCAACTAAAATCATTGGCGCATCGGGGCAGTGATGTTTTATTTCCGGATACCATTTCGACGTGACATTCTCGAACGATGACGGACTAGTGGAAGAGTGAAGTAATTATTTTTAGTTGAATGAAAATGGATTTTTTTGACATAACATGCAAACGTTTTGAATATTTACCTTGCTACGCTAAAGCAAACAAGAAAAACATCAGTCTGTGGATATGACAAAGGTCGTAATCGATCGTAGTCTTCTTGACCAGCGGTATCCCATCTAAAAGCGACAAGAATGAAAGAATATAATTTTTAGAAAATCACAATCATATATGCCGTAATAGATTGAGTACTTACAGTCCAAGTGAGACCTGAATGCCGTCAACAACCATCGGTGCTGAGTAGTTGTCAAACCTGCAATCAACATACACAATCAAAATCGTATTATTATTCCAAAAGTTCTCACAATAAATTTTGCCATCGTATTTTTTTTACGATTGAAGAGATACAGATGTATGGTCAGAGGAGAATACTCACACTGTGGGTACATATTCGCCGGGAAAACTATCTGTTGTGTAGGAGATCAACATGCATGTCTTTCCCACTGTGCCGTCGCCAACAACAACGCATTTTATTGGTCGTCCAGATGACATCTGCAAGCACATAAAATGCAATGTTTATATTCATTTACGAGTACTTCAAGCATTCGGCCGAATCGAAACATTCAACAAAAACATTTCGTTTCGTACATCTTGTAAATCTAATCAAATGGGCATTAAATTTCAAGTTAAACACAATCACACACACACACACAATTTCAATTCATTTTATTTTGACTATCCGTTTCTTTTCAATGAACCGTAAAATAACTGTTTGCCTTCAGTGAAATTAATCCGATGAAAAAAAAAACTGATTTGAATATTCATATACATTTATTAAATGGTATACAATGCATGGATGATTAGATATGAAAATATGTACTATTAGATCAAAAAAGAGCGAATGAGAGAGAGAGAGGGGAAAAATTGCAATGAAATTGATTAAGTAGCACACAATTGTACGAGTCTTAATTCCGATAATTGGTTATTTGAATGATGACGGCGGTTTTACGAGTTGGTGCTGTAAAAGTAATCCCATTCAAAACTAGAACGATTAAAATGACGAGCTCCCCATAAAAGGAGTACACTATACACACGCACTTTAAATCACAAAAAACAGAATATTTGTACGTGCAGATATTCTGTACGCTCGACAATGTTGCAAAATGAAATTATTAGTTGACTGACCGTTGTCGTCGCTTCTTAAACGCACTGTGTTCTTCGCTGTTCAAATGACGAATGCAATGAAAGGAGAGAGAAACGAGCGGCGATACGTGTTTGAATCAATTACAATTGTTCGGTGGATTTTTGGAATTCCGTTTCAATTAAAGACACTTTACACAAAATGCGCGTTGAGCGCGACTTAAATGAGTTAATAAATTTAAATCGTATTATCTCGATACAGAGAGTAACAACAACTGGATCGGTTTCAAAGAAATTTCATTTCATTCATTTCGTTTGAAAAACGATTTTATCCTTTTGATGAAAAGATGAAAAGGTGTCGTAATGACGTCATAATATTGAAAATAATAAACTATCATCATCTTCATCTTTGATAGTGACACAAAAAAACAACAACAACCACATTTCAAGAGGGTCGAACGATAATTCGAAAACAATTTTATATTTCCTTCTTATATCTTCCTCTATACGACATTGGTCGCCCTTTATCTATCTCGCTTGCTTTCTGTTTTTCACATTTTCAGTCGAATCACAAGCAACAATTTAATGTTGGATTTTTGTAGCTGAAACTACCATAACAGCCCGATTAGACGAACGCGAGAAATGAGTCCATGTGTGTATGCTTTTTTATTTACACACGCATAAACGTATTTATATCCGTTCTCACTCTGACTTTGTATAAATATAGAAAATGTGTGGTTCGGTGAAAACAATCCAACATATATAAATCTTTTTGATTTTTTTTTCCTTTTTTTCACTCACGCATTCGCTTGCTGTCGATCACATCACATTTTCCATCGTCATCACGATTTCTCCTGCTTGGTTATAAAAATAACACCGGAGTTTATACACATTTATATAATGGATATATTGTGAAATTCACAGTTTGTGTCAATGATTTTCTTGTTGTTTTCGAATTCGGAAGAAGCCGCTGTTCATCATTAGCTACAACTTTAAATCAGAATTAGAACTATCGCCATCGCTCGTAATCGATTTTTCTCTAACGAATCACGTCTTCGGCGACAAAATGATAGAAGTTTTGCATTTTTAAGCATAATGTTTAATTCTGTTGAGCAAAAGAATACAAACGATTCTTTTTAAAATAATAAACAAACTCTCCGAAATGAAGACGGAATGAATGAAACATTCTTGTGGCGAAAATGAATATAAATTTTGAATGTGGCATTTTAAATGAGCTGAGAAAATGTTAAATGAAATTATCATAAAAATCAATTATAAAAACAAAAGCAATTTTAGGTCAACACCATCGAATGTCGTGAATTGTTTTGCTTATACATCATTTCTCTATCACAATTTCTTTGTTCGCTTTCATTCGTTATAACTCTTATTGAGTTTTATTCATATTCTCTTCGTTCAATTTCTTTATCAATCGGTTCTCTGATAGAGTGGCTTCGATCGCTACCACTGTATTATTATGTTATTCATTTTAATTTCAGTTAATTTGTTATAAACCAATTGAATTGGATGCTTTATAAGTGCGCATATGTATCGGCTGATTCATACGTTCTCCTCCTTTCTACATAAATCGTATAATACAAAGAAATGTAATCGAATTGCAAGAGAACATGAAATCATTCGTTTCTTTCAATTAGACATTTACAAAGACGAAAAAAGATTAATTAAAAAAAAAACCGGAGACCCCTAACCGTTCACTCGTCTCTTCGATTGAAAATTGTCGCGTAATATAAATTCAGATTTTATTTGACCGGCATTTTTCGACGTAATCAATTTTTTTTTTTTTGAACACACACACTTTTTCTCTTTCTGACTTACACACGCCGCACTTTATGGCTTTGCCATTCTGAATTTATCGACGGGCAAAATCATGCACAATTACCGTACCTGAAGTGAATGTGTGTTGATGAACCAATAAATTCTATGTTAAAAACAATTATCGAATGTTGTTTATTCCAAAAACATACAGAATGGCGTTTACTCGCACCTTTGGTCTTATTTCTCTTTTTTTTTTCGAATGTTCAACACAAGTTTTAGTCGACGACAATTTCAGTACACATTAGTTGCGTTGTGTTGACTTTTTTATTTATGTAAAACACAAGTCCAAAATAAACATGAACAAATCACACACACACTGGGCGATGTGCCTTTTTTTGATTGTAAATTCACAATGTCTGTTGTTTTATTTGTTTTTTTATTCGATGCAAAAAAAACTTTTTTCGATACGTTCAAGTAAGAATGTAACACGATTGGTTTGATTTCCGTGAAATAATGATTTTTGGCTGCTTGATACTAAATTTGCGTCAATTTACTGGAAGCCGCCGCCTTTTAAAGCCGCTCTTTGCTACTTTGACACAAACAGATAGAGAGATGAATATATTGTAACACATAAATGCACAATGACACTGATATTTTGTCTTGTTCGTGTATCAATGGCATCCATCTTGTGGCGAGATTGGAAACTATTGCTGCCACGGCATCGGCTCACAAACTCATCAAAACGTCATTCAGTTAGAGAAAAAAAAACGTTCGCATCTGTTCATAACACTCTGGTTACATCACATTCTATCGCACGGCGTGATTGGTTGCACAAGCGAGACAAATATACTGTTTGTCCACATATATACTACACAAATGTTTTGCTTTTGTTTTGACATGTTTTGGATCCAGTCGCAATCGCATGTCTGGTTCACATTCAAAATAGAAAGAAAAAACAAACATAACATTTGAGGTTTTTTAAAAGTCAATAGTTCGTTTAAACATGATCGTCTCTTCAAATCGAATTAATATGATGACACGAATAGCTTGAAAAATATTATTTTTTAAGATTAAAAATGGAGTAAAATAACTTTTTTTATAAATAGCGATATTTTAGCTGAATATTCATCGGAGACACTGAATGAGAGCATTTCATTTGTTTCTCATGTCAACCATACTTCAATCCTATTGTTGATTCTAACAATACTATCGGCGTGATGGACATACGCTTCTTACTCCTGAATAATAAAAAAATAAGTTAAGTGGACACATGTGAGAAGTTTTTTTTAAATAAAGCCTTTCGCAAACAATTTTTCAATCAAGTTTTTTAGCAATGGAGTGTGATCTTAAGGGAAAAAGAGCTCTGGAGTAATCTCGTTAGATCGGCAAAATTCTTTGAACATTCTCCACTTAGTCAGCACATTTGTTTCATCATGTGACCATGAGAAATTCTTTAAATGTTCAATTTGAATCTGTTTCGCAGACTCATTGTCATGGCAAGTGCTTATAGTAGTTTTAATGCGTACTACGAACATTGACTTCAGTATATTAGTGCGTCGTTTGTTTCACAGTCTAAATATTTTGAAAATCATTTGTTGTTTTTTTTGTTCACAAATTAGATAAAAGTAATATTATCGTTAAAAATTTAATCATAAGAGGAAATTCAAAATAAATTTATTTTTGATCGTCGGTTTTGTGATATACACAAATGATTAATAACTGCGAGCGTACAGATAAATAAAGTTTCAAAGGAAATCGCGCACTTTGCATAGAGAAATTTAAAATAAAAAATGATAAGTGGGATACTTTGATGTATAAGAGGGAAAAAAATCACAAAATGATCGAATAGTAATTATTTGCTGTGAACGATTTTTGTTTCTGGTGAAACGTAAACGATAAATGGACAGAAAACATCCGCAACGCACGTGTTCATCTGTGTCTTTAGCCAAAACAAAAAAAAAATTACGTCGCTATGTAATTCAAAACAAAAACACATTCATGCAAGAATCATCATAACAGTTGTAATAAGTGACGCACATTGAAATATGAAAGCACAGTAAGTCTGAATGATTTTTTTCTTCTTCTCAGTTGATGCGATTGCACCAACGAAAAAAAGACGACAACACAGACATACCAATGGCACACCACACTCAAATTGGATTCACGTTCTGAGCAGCCAGACACAGTTTGCAATATAAATTTTGTATTGAAATGAGTGTGAGAATGGGTGTGCGTGGTTTTAGTGAGAGAATGCAAACTCTCTTTTCAAAATAACATAGGATTGTGTATGAAAAGAAAACACAAAACAGCTTTTCTTCATTTGCCATTTTTTTATATTTTTTTTCTTCTTCTTCTTTACAAACGGCGGAGAATTCGAGAATAATATATGGCCAAAATTTAATTTGCAATGAAATTTAACACAACTACAATTCAGTTGTAGAGGAAGTGCTTGAAAATGATTCTCTTTAAAAGAAAATTACATTTAAGACGAACAAATGAGACATTGCACGATGCGCAGCATAAACGACGACGAAAACACGCAAAAGAAGTTGAAAATAATCTGATCACAAAAATGTGCTTGAATTGATTATGAAATCATTTGACGCATACAATTTCAACAGAGACGCATCATTGAATTTTGATTATAGTGCAATTTGGGGTCATTTTGAACTTATATGATGCACTGTGCATCAGACGTATGCATATATATTTTTTTCGTTTTTCAAGTCAACAGACATTTTCTTATTTCGTAAAGTGAACTTGGATGGTTTTATTCTGATACAAAAAAGGAGACAAATGTCAAACTAGAGATAGAAAACATCTGATGATTAATAGGTATTAATAAACAAAGTAAACCATCTGTGTATTAACGTTTTTGTATCAAAACAATGATATTCGAGAAAATATGAGAATTTTTATAAGAATGATGATGAATGATGTATACATAGTAAGAAAACATTTCTTTTCGAGATAAAAGTTTTTGTTGTGCGTTTAATTCACATAAACAAAGGATTGAAACTAATTCTAATCAAACTAATCACCATAAAAGTGTTGGTATAATTTTTCATATCGGCAAAATTGAATAATGATATATATTAGAGTGGTTCGATTTTGACATTTTTTCAAGAATCAAAAATCGTACCCCCATAACCTCTGTAGGAAGGTCATAGAAACATGAATATAACAACGAATTCGAAATTTTTTTTATTTTTGGTGATGCGCGCTTCCAAGTGGTTTTTAAAAAAAGTCAAATTTTGATGAATTTTGAGCACTTTGAACATTCAATAAAAAATGGTCCCCGGGGGTTTTTTTGGCACGAGAAAACCGAATCTGGCATTAATTTTGTAATACAAATAATTTTCGACACTTTGTTCATGAAAAAATCACAAAAAATTTGGATTTTTGTATGGGAGCCACGCCTGTTTGATGGGAGATACACTTAATTTGTATTGAAATTTATTCAAACTTTCGGAATATTATTTTTTTGCGGAAAAAACATTCTGTGCATGGTTTAATGTCATTACAACATCAAATAGGCGTAGCTACAATACAAAAATCCAACTTTTTGGTGATTTTTTCATGAAAAAAGTGTCGAAAATTATTTGTATTACAAAATTAATGCCAGATTCGGTTTTCTCGTGCCAAAAAACCACCCGGGGACCATTTTTTATTGAATTTTCAAAGTGCTCAAAATTCATCAAAACTTGACTTTTTTGAAAAACCACTTGGAAGCGCGCATCACCAAAAATAAAAAAAATTTCGAATTCGTTGTTATATTCATGTTTCTATGACCTTCCTACAGAGGTTATGGGGGTACGATTTTTGATTCTTGAAAAAATGTCAAAATCGAACCACTCTAATAAATATATTATTACGTTTGTTTATAAAAATGTTCAATCGAATTCCACCTACAAAATTGAACATTTTTCCAAAGTTGTTATGAAAGTATTTAAAAAAAATAAAACAATAAAATACGCCAATTTTGAATGAGCTATAAAAAAATGCGTATGAATTATATCCAATGCGATATTTTAATGAAATTGTATTAGAAGCACGTGTACGCAAATGATACCGATGATGTGCTAACGTAGTATTTTATTTACTAACAAACAGCCGGTGAAATATTTACGTTACGAACTCAGCTATTTCAAACTGCGTAGTAATTTACTCGCGCATTTGATCGATTTTGTTGTCGATAAATGTGGTTTTGCCATTCACTATCTTTTTTGCCGTCTCTCTCTATTTCCTTTCATTTTTTATAATTCGCATCATCCTCATTTATGTGTCATTTCACTCATTCGCTCAAAAATCACAAAAGTAAATTCGTACCAATCAACTCCATGCCGTACCACTTAACACAGGGTATAAATAAAATTTCCTATTCTTCTTTTAATTCTTATAAAAAATGTATTACGTGACCATACTATTTAACGAAAGAGATAAAGTATATTACGCATCAAATTTATCAGAAATCAATCAAATTCATGAAGTTTATATAATAATTAATGTAATCAAATCGATATAAAATATCATTAATTTACATGCATTGAATCATTGGTTTCAAACACATACAAAAACTTAAAATTCAACGTTGATCATTATCGATTGTGACCAGTTTTGAATGTGACCATATCCAAGAATAAAAAAGATACAAAAAAATCAAACATTCAAAAATAAACAAAAGGTTTCAGTCTGTGTTGTGTGAGGGCATGTCTCCGTCAATAAAAAAGACGATATAAAGTAGCAAACGACGATGATAAATCCGTCGTGCAAATTGCGAGTGTTAAAATGCTCATGTGTGGTACACACATGTGCGCAAACATTCAATGTCACAAGAGATCTTTTCACATTTTTTCCCCATTTCTTTTCACGTCAATTGTGAATTGGATTCGCAAATAAATTCGTTCTTTTATGTCAATCTACTGCGGTATGCCGCACTCATAAATGATCTTTTTGAATGCTTTTTTTTTGAAAACACGCAATTTCTGCAAGATGTTTTTTCTCTCGCTATTTTATGTTGCATTCAAATGTAGACCAGACAAATCACATGCACAAGAATCCATCGCAGCCACGCTCTTTTTATTCGTATTCAACTGCTCAATCTATTTCACCGCGTACTTCTTATGTCTGATATTTCACCGCGTACTTCTTATGTCTGAATTTACTCTATTTACATTGTTCTCAATACGATTTGAAAAAGAATGAAGAAAAAAATTGAAGCATACAATGTATGTGAGCAGACCAAAATAAAAGCATCGCGTCGTGCCATCACTCGAATGTATTGTCTGTACTTCCTTCTCGAAGACGGAAACATTTAGCATACGGCGCAAAATATACGGTATTACAAATCATTTATTCAAATAATTTCATATATGCGTACACATTGAACCAAATCCCCCCATGAGCGTATATATAAAGGCACAAGCCTCTCTCCCCATTTAGTTAGGAAATGAAAAAAAAAAACAACACACAGCATATATTCTAATGTTTTCGTGCTCATATTTGAATGACCTCCAAATGATCAGTTCAATGTATTGGTTGAATTTTTCAATATTTGCACATAGAACACATTCAGTGTGTTTGTGTTTTTTTTTCGTACTTCTATTTTCTCATTCGTTCATTCTGATTAGGCTAATGTATAAATTACACGCATTTGTCACATTTGCACGATCAATAATAATTGATCGAGTAACCAAATTGTATATGTATTTTAATCGATGCCACACACACAAACATTATACATAGTCAATCTTTACTACGATACAAATCCACTCAAGCGCTGTGTTTAAATAAGTTGACTACAAAATATTTAAATTTGATTTTAGCGCGCTCGTACGTGGGCATTTGAATCGACTATTTCAAATGATTTTACACGTTTTTTTGCACACGCACACTTAAAAAAAACAAAAACATTTTTGAATCGATTCAACTAAAAAGCGAAGAAATATTTGGTACGAATGTTACGTATTTACTTAAAGTGCCAATATTTTGTTTTCGGTTTTTATTTCTATTTTTTTTTATTTTTTTCATTCTTTCGTCTAATCTTGATTCGATTTGGTTTCAAAACAAAGCCAGAAGCGGGTGAATTTGTACGCATTAAATAAAATATGAATCACTAAACTGGTTCTAATTTGAACAACTCCAAACTAGAATATTTCTACGTTTTAAAAATGCACACAAAAAATTCGTCTATTGCCGAAGTTCAAAGGAGATAGAGAACGATACGGTGAAGGTTTTCGTTGATTTCTGAAGACTTAAGATTATACACATGTATTTTAAAACCACATAAATTAGAACATATTCGTTGGCATTTACTTTATCATTTGCATACATATTGCTTTAGATAAATAGATAGTTCGGAGATAAATCAAACGAAATATGTTGACACAGCAAAAATCGAATGGGATAACAAAATTCACAGCAATTTTACGCCAGGAATGTAAATACTATCGCATGATCTCTCATAATGAGCAATGAATATACAAAAAAAAATATTAAATATCACTTTTGCTGATAACCGCAGGCCGACTTGCATGGAAATCTCTTTGTTGTTGTTGTGTCTCTATTTTTCGCTCCCATACACGCACACATATTGATAATACTGTATGAGTGTGCAAAAACACATGAGATTATTATCAGTAAAGACCATTATTTTCATATTTCGTTTTGCGATCATAATACACTCGCATAATACAAAGTTGAACATACAATGTTCAAGTTAAAAGGGATTTTCTAAGAAAGAAGGGAATTCATATTTCTTGTTAAAGGGCATGACTGAAAAAAAAATCATTCGTAAAAATGCACATATATGCAAAAAAAAAACCGCGAGAAAGGAATGAAAACATTTTTAAATAATGAATACAATGGTGCACACATTCATATTCACGACCAATCCCGAGAACACTTCAGTTTCAGTATAATTAAATAACAAGCCAAAAAAGAAGAAGAACATTTATTATCTCAAAATAATTGAAACACATTATATTCATTTACCGGTGTGTGAATTTTGATGGCATACTTATTCAATCTGTATTGGTCAGCTGTTTTGAACTTAATAATTAAAATCATACGCGACTAAGCAAAATTGTGTATACACCCCGTTTTTAGTTTACGTCACAATATATTAAGCAAATCATCCTTATTTCACCACAACACTGAACTATTTTCCGGCTCTTTAGCTACATTTGTTGGTTCGGTGCATACATATTTCTACATATAGATAGATTTCATTACCTATCTATTTATTTTTCCTTTAGTCTTAACTCTAATTGCAATAATATTGTTTCATAAATCGTCAATGATTATAGCACCAGAGCAATCGAAATATTGTGTACAGTCCACATTTTTGCTGCCACATCGCGATCTAGTATGTGTGTGCGTGTGTAAAGGTCTGCATAAGTGTGAGAGTGGAATTTATTGATAACGTTTAACGAATTGATAGCGCCTGTGTTGAAAACGAAAGAAGAAAAAAAAACTGATAAAATGCGATTAGGCGATAGTCTTGTGACCAAAATTTGCGATAAAGCAATAAAGATAGAGAAGAATAAAACTGGCAATAGAATTTAAAACGTTTATTAAAATATTTGGAGGCAAATATTTTTTTATGGCTTTGTGGGTGCTTTTCTATTTTATATTTGAATGTTCGATTACAATGTGTCAGTGAGTTGAGTTTACACATGAGTTTGATCGAATTGGCGTAAATCGTTGCTACGAAAAATTATTTCACTTTATCATATAGCAGAACTCATCCAATTCAATCGAATTGAAACGAATCAAATCGACTCCACATTTATTATTCAATTACACACGCGGTATATATTAATGTTGTGTTATATGAAGTTACGACAAATACGCACGCACGCACACATACATGAAATTCAACAGTCTATTTTCGGTACGACGCAGTTCTCTCTATAAGCTCATTTATTATAATTTAACTTTGAACATAAGTTAACAGTTCGATCATCACACTCACACATCATCACCGCCGTCATCGTTGTCGTGGTCGTCGTCGTCATCATTGCTGCCACGGTTAATGTACATACAAGAAATCGAACGGATAAGAGACGCGAGCGCGCATTTTTTCGGACTACTCTTGAGCGTATTCTCGCTCACATTGATATTCGTTTTATATGTTAGGCGAAGAAGAATTTCGATAGTGGTACTAATGTTTCGTCAATTGATAAATTTCCATCGTACATATGTGGTTGGAGTGACAGACACACATTCAGTAAATATATTAACACGCATACGCGTTCGCCAATTCAGGTTACATTATTTACGTATGTATCAGGAATATCATTACCATCGCATTAGACATCGGCGACAATGTTTTACGTTCTGTGTTCAGCATCGAGAGAATAAATGTGATTGTGGTATTAAGTTTCAAAGACAGATAGGTAATTAAAAGTAACACGGGTGGGCAGTTCATTTTGCCCATGCCCAACATGTTATTCCCTCATTTGATAGACTGCACTTGCTTCGTTTGGTTTTGGTACGCAATAAAGCTTCAAATTATTATCACATCGCTGAGCACACTGTATCAATTTATATACTTACAAATACTCAGTCGGACAATCTGTCAAGATACGAAACGAATGTCGAATGTATATTAGCGAAAACGAACAAACGATACAGAAAGAAGATTGAGCGAATAAGTATGCGAGAAAAATATTTGCAGAATTTTGTTATTATATATATTGTTGTGAGACCCAACTATCGCTTGATCGTACTTGGTCAGTTGTACGTGTTTTTTGTTTTGCTATAGCTTCAACGTAAATACAATCGTTCTCTCCGTTGTTCCAGTGCTTTCTATCGTTACGTTTCGTTGCTTGTTTTGAAAGTATGCTGTTTGGTGCTCTCTTTCTCTCGAAAGCATGTTCACAACACAATCTCGATACACACATACACAAATATAGCATACCAATACAGTTCGTTCATACCACTGTGTACAAGTATGTGTTAACTTGTATTGTTGGCTGTGAGAATGAATGAAGAGCTTATTTGTTTGCGTAACTCGCAGTATAACGTAAGACGGTTTTTTTTTCTCTTCTCTCGTAAAGCGTACGATGTAGAAACGACGAAACGAAACAACGGCAGCAGCAACAGCAGGCGAAACGAAAAATTGTATACCAAACCGTAGAAAAATTGTATTGGGTTTAGTTAGTCCTACGTCTACATCCGGCTTGTGAACACACTGCGCGTGAAACTCTCGCGAATGAAACAAAATAAAAATAAAGAAGAAAAACTAAAAACAGCAACATACGAAGAAGTACCGTATCAAACGAGAAGTGAAAAAAAAGGCAACGAAATACTACAACACACATTTATATACAAAATATTAGCTCTTCTCTAGCACGTTATTTACACATGTATATACATAACTGATAGTGTAGTGTATTTTTGTAATGTCGCCACGAGGTCGTAGCGCGAAATTTCTTTAAATAATAGTATATCGTTTATATCAATTCGTTTGTGTTTTGGTTTTTTCATACTGCGACAGCTCGTGTTTTTTTTTTATTTCTCTTCGTCTAACTGAATCTATCCCATCAAGTTGTCGAGAAGTTTCAATATTCCAATTCACACCATTTGGTTTTGATTTTGGTATTGATCAAGCGTGACATTTTTTTTCTTTTGTTATTCTCTTTGATTTGTGTTAAATTTTGTTTTTGATTCAATCTCTCGCCAAAAATCTGTCAGAGCAAAAAACATCATTTGATTTGTGTCGACGATGACAAAGACGAAGGCGACGAAAAGTGCTTTAATGTTTAAAAATAGAAAGAATTTTTATTGAAATCAAATCAAATTGAACAAGTGACATAATTGTCAATCAGAAACGAAACAAGAACAGAAAACAGAAAAGAGAAAGAAAACACACAAAATCGAATCGTGAAAAATTTCCATCGACGACGACATCCAGCGATATATTGAACTGTAAAGAAGAAGAAGAAAGCAAAAGCAGAGAAAAAAAAGAGTATATAAACGAAACAGATTACATTAATGAAAACGCGCGACAGCGACGACTTAAAAGAGGTACTGCGATAATAGACACACAGAGAGGAAAAAAAAAATTATTAAAAAATAAGATTTTTTTTCTCGTTTGCTTCCTACCAGCAAAATGAGATAGAGTGTGTGTATTTTTGTGTGGCAGCTAGTTTGACCAAGACAAAAAAAAAATCCAGCTAAAGAAATATAATATAAATAATAACAATAATAATAACAACAGCAGCTGAATTACAGCTCGATCCAACGAAATATCTTCGCGTGTGTTGTGAATTTTTATTAAAACGACGTAGCAGAAAAATATATACGGTTCGCAAGCAACGACACCGGAGAGAGAAAGAGAGAGAAAAAAGAGAGGCTAGTCGTGAGCACACACAACACGTTAAGCAATGCGATTGTGAACGAGAACGAACACGTAAAAAAAAAGAGAGTTGCGACAAAAGAACACACGAACAGAAAATATGTAAGCGAATACGAAGCACACCAGCCACATTCTCGAATATACATTTTTTTTCGGTATTTGCCTTCGATGGAGAGAGAGCATATATTTAAGCTATATGCTTGCACACGATACGACAAAACCCGTAGTAGAAATGATGACGAAAATATATATATATAGTTGATACGGTGGCATGGGGCGGAAATGAATGAGACGAAATTTTCTCTCTCATGGGCGCAGCCATATTGAAAATTTTGTATGCGCTTATATGTAAAATTGGTGGCGCCACTGGTATATTTGATGGAAAAAGAAGAACATGTTTGAGTCTCACTCGTTTATATGTAAATTACATAGGCATTTCCAGGCCATGTACGGTGGCCTCCGTTGCTTATTTGCCATCGTGTGTACAGTCTTTCTCTATCGCTCTCGCTCATACTCTTTTATTCATTCGGTTCATACATTGTTTTCTCTCGTTCTCCCTTTCAAAGCTGTTTTACTCTCTTGCTCTTATTCACCATTGGCAAATCGAAAAATTGTTAATATCCACTATATCGTATACGAATACGCGCAAGCAGTCATGCTTGGTGCTTTTTTTTCTCCTCTGAACGAAACGTGCTTGTATGATCTAATATGAGTTTGAACAAGAGAGCTAAAAAAATATAAGCAATGAAAACCAAGGCGAGCAAAAATACTTTCATGTGTATGGACACAAGCATGTGTTGCTCGAATAATGTAGTATATGTACTTAATTTGCAGTGCGGGTAAAAGAAACTCGCGCGATTAATTTCGAACATGTATGTGTATTGATAAAAAAAATAACCAAAACAAAACATAAAAACAGTACAATATTATATACAGAGAATATTGAGAAGAGCAAGAGAGGAAGAAAGCGATCGAATTGAATTCTTGTGTTCCCAGTGTTTTTTTTTTGGATACGTTATTAATTGGAATTTTAATTTTAAAAGAGAGAAATTTTTATCAAATTTCAATATACGAGTGTGCTAAGCCACGAATCGGCGTTCGAAAATCAAAGACAATGAAACACCAAAATTTATTGTGGTGAAAATATGTCATTATAAATAAAAGGTTTTATTTGAAAAGTATACTTCAATTTGTCTGGCGTCACTGAAGATTCATGTTCTTCAATTAATTTTTGCATTCTTTGCTGTTTTGACGCAATTAAATTTCAATGCAAACCATTGCATGCGTGAGATTTTGTTGTAAATCATGAAAATAATTCCCATCTTCATCAATATTTAGATGTGTTTTAATTTATGTAAAATAGATGCGGTGCCATTTAGTTATAGCGCACACTCGAATTCACTCAAATCAATGATCGTGTGCTTCTCTACTGCCGAATGTAACATATAATGATCTCAAAGCTGCTGGTATATGAAATTCAAATGGCAACGGAATTAGCTCAAGCGAAATGGAATAAGTTGAGAGAGAAAATCGAGAGAATCGAGAAGAAAACAGTATAAGAAAGAGACCGCAAAACACCGATCACGAAACAATGTTCCATTAAAAATCATAAATTGAACCAGCAAATATTTGCTACTGCATTTGTGTGCATTTTGAAAACGCATTCAGGCTATCATTCTTGATTATACGTTTGCATTGGCTCATTTTCGACCATTTCGTTGTGTTTTTTTTTTTTTTTTGATAACTAGTGATCAATTTCTGTAATAATTCTACCCAGTATTCGATCCGACTCTCTTTATATTTGCATCACTTAAATGTATTTTGTTTTAGTTTTCAATTTATCGGCACATTTGCAATTGAATGATCTGAGATCAGTGGCCGAGCACTACGCGTGTGCATACGAAGAGAGTTGAGAAGAGAAGGAAAATGGCAGTACGATAACACGATAAACATAATAATGCGGCGGTCACTGGCTGACTACATCAGCAAAAGTTCGTGATGTGTTATTAAGTTAAAAGAAGAAGGGAAAAAAACATCATCATTATTCATTACATACTTTAGTCAATTCAAGCAAATTATCCGTTTTTCACTCTGTCTGCACCTCTTTCTCTCTTTTTGCATGAAATTGTCATTTTTCATTAGCATGTGGGCCGTGCAACGATCCACAGCATCACCAAAAATTAACCGCCACTTTATCATGAATCGGTCGGTGTGTCAAAAAACATTGCGCACACGATGAATTGAAACCTTAACAATGAAGCAAAGTCATTGAGTCTCATTGAACCGCCAAAAAATTGCTAATAGCGTGTCTAAACGAATTTCAGGGATTTGTGAGTATTGTGAGTAATTTGGCAAAAGTATCTAGTTAAGTCATCAAAAAAATGAAAACAAATGCTTCAAAAGGTCACCTGTCTGCATGTCGAACGAAGAAAAATCTCGTGAAAATTGCGGCAATCTCATTTCATTCAAACTCATGAAACAAAAAACAAATGACTTGGTACAAACGGAAAAATACAAAAGATGAGCAAGTAACAAAACACAAAGACGCGCTGTGTCTATTTTTAAAATGAAATATCATGAATGATAAGATACAAAACTCAGCGGCCCCAACGAGTATGCTCAGAAGAAACAAAAAAAAAAACGAAAAATGTGTGTAACAAGTTATCATTACATATAATGATAACATACAGAGAGGATTGATTTCGCATGTAAGCTTATTATCTTCTCTCTTCGTCTCGCTTCTTTTTTCACGAAAATTCCACGAACCGAACTCAATTCTAATGCAGATTGAACGGTGCTCAACACAATGTGATTTTGTTTTTACCACGAAATCAACCGAAAGATTTTCTATTTCTACAAATCACAACATATCATTTTTATACTATTTTACACACACGAACACGTGCATGAAGAGTAACTGTGAAGAATGGCTGAAACAAAGTTTTTCTCTACTGTTTCTTCAGGCACATCAAATCATTTAGGGAAAAATTAACAACGAATAAAGCAAAAACGAACGGCTTTAATTGATATTTCTCGCTGTATTTTAATGGAATCCATTTAAATCAGTACAAAACGAGTTATCATGACAAGCGTAAATTGAATGTTCGTCTGTTTCGTTGTTCCCCGAGAATCGTAATAATAATATGTTTAATCTCTATTGACACTCTAGAATTTTGCTCTCCTCTTGTGCTCATTCACAAAAAAAAAAGATCGAATTCGAATTGAAAATGAAAAAAAATGAACCTTTTTCCACATAAGTATACATTAACAAAATGCGTCATCGTTTACCACACGAGTATAGACAAAACTCGTAAAATACACACACTCAGGCACACGTTTTAGTCGAATTATAGCGAATTACGGTCTTTTTTTTCGTTAATATTCATATGGTAATTCTGCCATGAACAGAAAAAAAACTTCAAGCCTCATTCATACGATATAAGTCAAGGTCAAATGGCAATCCAATGGATGGTATATAAATTATATCGTTATGTGATTATACTTATTACGTATTACTTATCGCATGGATCGTTGTCCAACACCTCAAGCACTTCATTCCGTATAGTTTCCATTTCTTACTATCTTTACATGTCCTGTCATTAACCATATGCCGTTTAATGTAATTACCCACAACAAACTCGATTGAACACTGAGTCTTTTCATTATTTTCTTTTCTCTAGTAAATTGCCCTAGCAAGATTGGAATCATTTTCACGTATATAGAGCCTTCAATTATGGTTAAACGCACTTTCTGCTCATAATCATCTATTTTTACGTCGAAGCACTTGTTTAGCTTTGAGTAAAACAAAGTACCTCTAATCGATTTGTATAAATTGGTGTGAATCAATTTATTTCGAATTTCCAAATGAATTTTAAACGAAACTCATAAAGAACACATTCTTCTTACTTTATACAGGAATTTTTCATAAATTTATTTGCATACCAAACGTTTTTCGTCACGCCAACACGATATTAAAAAGTAAAATATAATTTAAATTACAAAATATCATTTTCAAGTGCAAAATTGAACGGAATTTGAGATTCGGCAAATTATTTATTATTATTATGGATTCCGGAATAAAACAATGTATTTTTTTGTTGTATTTGGAGCGCCACGCTTTTTCATGTTAGCTTCTGTTCAAGTCGTACTTTGTCAAACGTGATCTATATCATTTGTTGATAATTTAAATCATTTCACATTCACGTGCCGTGCGGCAATAAAACATGCATTTTTAATCAGAAAACGTTGAAAATTGATCATTGGGCGGCAATTCTCTGACTCGCATTAACAATTAAAACGAAAAAAAAACTTCTTGCTGTCATTTACTTTTTTACCACCATTTTTTGAATTGATCAGATTTTTTTTCACTTTGAGTGTGAAAATATAGCAATAACAAATACAAGATGTCTTTTTTTCGCAAGAATTATGCTAAAAAATCCGATTTCATTCTACTCAAAACCAAAAACCGCAATTCTTTTGAATCTGTCATACGAAGCGCAAGCAATCGTTTGGAGTTTAAACGCTTAGACCTAATTATACACGCGATGAATCGAGTGTTAAGCCCGAAAAAAATCAACGACGCAATAAGTAAAACACCGAAGAAGAAGAATTAGTAGTCGTTTTGGCGACTCAAGTAACAATTGGCTTCTTTTTTTTTGCTCTCGTACTTTGCTCACGTCATAGCATTTGTGATATGTATGCGTTGTGATTTTACACATGTACGAATGATAAATTCACTGAATTCAAATGTGAATGTGACCATGAAATTGATGATCATTTTGGTATGACAAGAGATTTAAAATGGTTATCGTTTGTGTTCGTATTTTTAAAAATTCGACAACACTGCGGTGCGCGCAAAGAATTCTGCGCTGATCCATGTTATTTTTAAAATCATTATTACGTCGATGTATATCGCTTCCAAAAATAAAGCAAATCGTTCCATACGATTTTATCAACAAACATTTTGAGGTGTGCTTTTTCAGACAATGTGAAGAGAAAAAGAGTTCCATTGAATATATATATAGCAATAAAAAAAGAGAATGCCTCGTTAATCCTATCGTCTATATGGCCCATACTTATATAGTATATTAATGGCATTAATGACATAAAAAGAGAATAACGTGCGATCGCCTTTCAGGTTCATTAAATCTAATTGATTGACGTCTAATAAAAGCTCCAAAAAAGACGTAGTCAAAGCTATGTTTAGTCAGAATCGTTATAAATATTAAATAAAATATAAAACTTTGTATTTTGAAGAAGAAGAAAGAAATCCATATCGAAAAGGAAAAAAAACACGACAATATCGATTCAACATTCACGCACATTAAAAGATGTGCTGACTCCAATTAATATTGCGAAAGAGAAAGGCTAATGTATGTCACTAGATCGATATCATAGTGGGCAAGAGTCGCGCGCGAGTAAAGTTGTATCGCATATTTTGTTTCGTTGAACCAGTTCATTTCGTATTCACAACAAAATCGCACACATATTTCTGTGTATACACGTTTTAAACGCACCATCAGTTAAAAAGAGAAGGAAAAAGCGGAAAATTCCGTAAAAGTTTTGTTAGCTAGTGATATCAATGAAATAAAAAAAAATAATGTTGTCGCTGATTTTGCGTGTGTGTGTGTGTGTGTCTGTATTTTATAGCCAGTCAGAAATTGTGAAACAACTACGATGACGACCACAACTACGATGCGAAAAAAAAAGAGAATGAGGCGGCGCAAGCGTTACACTCTTGTAAAGTAGACAATTTATGGGGCATTTTTTTTAATCATCATATGGAATGCCTGTGGTGTGGTTTGGTTCACATGTTAGAATGTAATCACATTAATGAAATACACACTTGCTGCGAATGCCACTGCTTAATAAATAACTCGTTGTAAAATTGTGGCCATGCTCACTCGCGCACTTTGGTCAAAATTGTCCGACCGATGATTTCATTTGTACACACTCACACACACACACGATACGACCAAGGTAACCACGTCAAAAAATTGGCCTTTGATCAAATTGTGCGAGTGAGTAAATAAGTGGAATATGTTCCCTTTGTCATGCTCATTCTTTCTTTGGTTACCGTGTAGAAATTATGTTATGCGATGGATTTTCGAGCCGTGATTTTTTTCAAAGTGGCACGCAATTCATTTTCATTATGACTTAATTTCATTTGGCTGAAAAAAAGCGGAAGAACTGCTAATTGAATTCATTAGAGCCAGAACATTGAAATGGGCCTCCTTCTCTTGATTTGTTTGGTGAAGAAATCCAAACATTGTCTAGACGGTGAAAAAACTGTCAAAGACAACTCTTTTTGAGCCGAAATAGCTAGGTGTCAAATGACTACGGCCATTCATTGATTTCACCGAAATCGTGTTATTTTTTTTGAATACTTTGATGAAGAAGATAACAATATTCAATTGCACGAAAATTAACAGCTATAGTGAAAAGGCTAACCTTGATTTCATTGATTAGAGTCTTTAATTGTGTAAATACGCGATTTGTATGGAATTTTAAGAGGCGCATGGTCATTGCCCTGACACTAAGGCAAAAGGTCGTTTTTTTATTCTCAAGAATATTCTTTATAATGAAAAAACATTGAATCCTCGATTCCGATTAAAGAAAAAAATTCCATAAAAATGATCGAATCCAAGAAAAGAATTACGCATCTTAGCCGATTCATTCCAATTTTCTATATTTCAATCAAATCTTACGACTATGTTTGCTGTGGCGCGATTTTGTTTTGTTGCGTCAATGTGTGTTTGTTTACTTTTCGCGACGATGATACTCAGTGCGAAAGAGAAAGACGATGATACTCAGTGCGAAAGAGAAAGACGATGATACACAGTGCGAAAGAGAAAGAGTGAAAGAAATACATGTTACACACGACAATCAACCGATTTTTTGTTTACATTTTGTTTCTTTGCATGCGCAAAACAAAGCTGATTGTTTTGAGTATTGACATTTGATAATATTACCGCACTTTGTGTACAAACATCGAAAAGGAAATAGAGGAAACAAATATGTGAAGAACTTCTGTTTTGTTTTTCACGCGCAAAATCGCATCTAGACAAGTTATATAATCAAAACGTGACGATTCATTTTGTGTCGATACAATAAATAACTAGAACTCATTCTTTTTTTTTTCTAAATGAAATTTTATGGCATTTTAATGAGTACTAATTTTAACAATTTGACAATTGTAAGTTTCCTTTCAAATCAAACGTTTTGTGTGGAAAGAGATAAGTGGGTTGAAGAGATCGAAACCGATTGACGTACAACACCAAATCTGATAGCCTTGTTTCTATTTCCATATTACGATACAGATATAGAATTTGAGGTTGTACATAAGCACGCAAACACATCACATTGATATATGACATGCCCCCAAAAAGAAATATGTAAACTTAAATAGTCATTAAACTGAAAACTGTTCACATTTCTGAATTTATTATTATCAATTGACAATTACATGTTGCATTGATATTCGAAATGAACGCCAATGACGAGGTTTTATTTATAAATATTATATTGTAAAATCAGGTCAATTTTTATCAATTAATATTTTTTGTTCTCTATCTTTCTCTGCATTTTTTTATGTTCTTGCCCACGATTGCTGTTCCAAAACGTGTATTCTCTCGCTATTCGTGGTGTGTCGTAAATGTTTAATAAACTTACGAACGATGTTTAAATCTCACTTCAAAAGTCGTAAAATGTGTGACGAAAAGTTTTAAGACTTTGTCATATGAATGACGATGAAAATGCGCGAAGAGTATGCTTTATCATCGTTCTAAAAAAACTACTCTTTTTTCATTTAGCACATTTTATATTCGACACTAAAATTATGAATTTTTATTTAACTCTGTTTTACGATTATCATACAACTTCTCTATAGTATATCAATCAAAACGGTTTAATCAATATGAAAAAAAATGAAGGAAAACGTTGAATAAATCATTCGTTTCATTCTTATCAGTTCCATTTCGAAGGGGTCAAATGATGAACCAAACAACAAAAACACCATTTTTTATTGAAACAAAATCTATACATATACACAAAATTATTTTTATCAGTCAAACCAAGGGGAATGTCACAAAGAACGTACTAGAATTGTATCATTCGGAATAGGTTGGAATTGTTTGGAATTAGTGGTAGTGTAAATGTCAACAAATACGCCGATATGGTGACAGAAACATTGAGTTTTCAATTCAGTCAGAAACATTTCAATATTTTTGTGAATATACTTTTTGTCGTAAATGTGTAATGTATTTATTTAAATTATACAAAAAAAAAATTCACAAAAATATTGAAATGTTTCGGTGCCGACGACTGAATTAAAAACCTAATGTTTCTGTGGACAGTACAGTGTATTTGTTGACATTTACGTTGCCGCTTATTCCAAACTATTTCAACCTATTACAACCTATTCCGAATTATATAATTCTAGTACGTTCTTTGCGACATTCCCCTTGAGTCAAACTGATAAAAATTAGCTCATTATTTTTATTACCCTCGTATAGCCAAGTAAGCTATAGCTCCTACGCATATGTTTGTTCGACTGGACCAACGACGACTGTCGAACAGAAACGCTTGGTTTGCTGACGACAATCTATCGATGGTGTCGCCCAAACGCGTTTATATGGCGGTAGGTTGTTGCACTGGATATACCGTGTACCGAAACAGCTTATGGATTTAACCATAAAGAGTCTATAACCACTGTGCGGGGGGATGCAAGAGTATATAAGTGAGACATCCACTCAAGTTCCCCCAATAGTATATGCATTTCAGAAGCTATTTGTACTGAAATTCTACCGACAATGTTCGAGTGAATTATAACCAATCGCAAAGTGAAAAATGTGGTTTGGTGTAATTTTGAGACATTTTTTTTTTTATTCGAAATCATTCGAAAATAATTTTAAAAAATTATATTTGCATTTTTAAAAATCATATTTTTATAAAAAATAATGTAAAAAAAAAGTTTCGACATGATTTTGAATAAAAAAAAATTTTATGTCACAGAGAATAGATAATGTTCATCTGCTTCATATACCAAACGACATGAAAATGATAGAATGCATCGACTATATGATTGTCATTGCTTTGAATCTGTTTCCATTCAGCATAATTTTTATTGCGAAAAAAATGAATCGAATAAAATTGGACGGAGGACAAACAACGATTTTGATAGTTTGATCTGTGAAATTAGGAACCGTTAAAATCATGTCCAGCGATATCCAATGTAAACTCAATCTGGAAATCCCCCGACGCGAACTCCTTCTGACATAAAGAGATAATGACTTAATTTAAAAAAAAAATCAGGCCATATTGCATTTGTTGAAGGCTGAATACCAATACCAATATAATATGAGTGTATTTTTTTTTTGCAAACATATATTGTTGCAGAAAAAAATGAAGGTGAATTCAGACGCATTAAATCGATTCTATCCTGCCCAATGTTATTGAAAGTTCCTTGGTGCATTCACACGATTTCAAAAGAGATTTTCAACGCGTGTTTTCCTTTCGATTTCTTAATCATTTTTATTTTACTTTTTTATTTATATCCGTTTTGTTTGTGTGTGCTCTCCAACCGAGTAAACAGTTAAAACCGAATCGTAAACAAACAAATGCACCATCACAATACTTAATCCATACCAAACGATGCCACCAAATACGAACATTTTAATTCGAATTGTACAAGACGAATCTTGTTTCTCAGGATATTTTGTGTGTTTTTTCTCTCATTTTCTTTGAATGTGTGTTGCAAATTAAGTTCACAATATTTACACACGATGATTTTAATTGGAAAAAATACCATACTTTCGCAAACAATTGACGCTAAAAATAAGATTTTTTTTAATTAAAAAAATCCTGAATCAATATCTAAACGAACGTTTTTTTTTTATTCTATTCACAGAAGTGCGCACGAATGTGACAAGCGAATTACAAAATAAATATACCTCAGTGGAAGTAAAAACCGATGCCTTATAATAATTTTATGAATAAACAGAAGAATTTAAACCTTAATTCAACACGTTGGAACCAAGTTAAAAGACTATATTTTTATAGAAAATAAGACACAAGTGCAACAAGTTGTAGATTTTTTAAATAAAGAAAAAGTGTGCAAAAAATACTTGAAATAGTACGAGAGATACAATCGAATTTATAAATTGCGTTTCGAGCAGATAGTGGAATGGATTCGTTTAATGCGACATGGCCGTCACCCGATGGCATTGAATCGATTTCAAATGACGGAATCCAAATGGATCTAGTGACGGATCTGCAAGAATCATTTGAACCGTTACAAAGAGCACGGTGAGTGTATTGGCAGTTTTGGCCGACGAGTTTTAAAAAAATACTTCGAAAAGTGTTTGTTTATGATTGTTCGTTTTATTTTTCGTATCTCGATTTCAGTTCAAATACATGGCCTTTACCTCGACCAGAAAACTTTGTCGATCCCGATGAGTCTGAGAGCAATAAATGTAGTAATCAGCAGCTATCAACAAGTGAGTATACAACAGTCTTGAAACAACACCTAATTGTGATAAGATCAAACAATGTTTCACACGAAAGCAAAATATGTTTTCTTTTTTTTTCCACTGTTTTTACGTGTTGCCAACCATTGCATCAAATCATATAGTTTCTTTCAATACTTGTAAAGAAAATTAAATATTTGATTCGCAATTTTCCCCACGTCATAATCATCAATGCCTGCGTAATAACGTTCCTTTTGAATGAGGGTTGAAAAAAAAAACATATTTTCGTATTCAATAACATTTCAAGCATGACGTTTTCATTTCTGTGAAATGTATTCCGATTATTTTCTAATCTAAAACCAATTTTGTTATGAAATTGTTTTTACTTATTATCATTATTATATGATGTGCTTTTATGTTCATTTCAATCAGATGACTCACATCAAGTGACATTACCCAATTTGACGGCGCAAAAGAAGAATTCATCACGTCGAAATGCGTGGGGAAATTTATCTTATGCCGATTTGATAACGCAAGCCATCACATCAGCCGTCGATAATAGGTTAACGTTAAGTCAAATTTATGAGTGGATGGTACAAAATGTTCCTTATTTTAAAGATAAAGGTGACTCAAACAGCAGCGCTGGCTGGAAGGTGAGTGTATTTGTTATATACATGTATTTGTGCCTTTATTTTTCGTCTCATATTATTTCCTTTCATTCGTTCTCATTCCATTCCTTTCTCCTATTCCTTTTTATTATCGATGAAGTAAGCTCTTTTATGGTTTTATTATGTTTCATTAGAAATTCCTTTAGTCCAAAGTATTTCAAATTCTTTTTTTTTCTCGACATTTTTCAATCGGAATGGTTTGACTTTTGTTTGGCTGCCTATTTAAATAAACCTGTATGCCGAAAAATATTGCCAATTAAACTACGCATCGCACAAGATATGACGATGTACCCATTTTCGCATAAATAGCTAAGGTTTCCTTTTACACAAGAAAACACAACCAAATGTGATATCATATTTCATATTAGCAATCAGTCGTTATGAACACATTGTATTGTAGACTTTGTATCCGAATCATTTTTATCAAAAAGAAAAGAGAAGAAAAAAAAAGAATGAAAGATTGCTCATTTTATATGTGGGCAGTGACAAAATAGGTATCGTAGTTAAGAAACGTGATCGCATTCTATTCTCTTCGATTGAGTTTCTACATAGTTTCGAAATTCATATTGAATCGCCATTCAATTGGTGCGTACTCCAAATTTTTTATGGTGATTCTTGGTCAATCTCGAAAGTTCATATTATTGTAGTAAAATAAACAAGTTAATAACTGCAATTAATATTTTTTTTTAATATGCGCGATTGCTGTCTGCACTTCAATATACATTCGATTTTGCTTTTATTTAAGGTCGAGACTCGAACGATATCACTGGAGTAATAAACGTATGTTATCAAACAAAATTATGATTATTCACTTTTGCTGGAATTTGAATCATATGATTTATGAGCTCATTCTCACTGAACTTCGGTGATTTTCCTTAAACGACTTTTTTATTTGAAGATCTTGAAATTGGGTTTAACGCTATTCAGTCATTTGTACTTGAAATCTCAAGTCTTCGCAGAGTCTGATAAGTTTGGGAATAAATAACGATAATAAGTAGTTCTTAGAATAAATTTTTACGTAAAGATAAGATTTTTTTTTTTTAAATATGAAATCAAATCTTCGCACATATGGAAACATGGAGAATTCCAAGCAACCTTTTGCTCCCCTGTGGTAATTGCGAAATGTAAACAACACAGCCAACGTATGTAAACATATCAATGCGATTTTTATAAATCACACAACCTAATCGTAATTCAACCAAACATAATCGGACTGATAATAAGCCAGCTTTTATGACTCTCTTTCATGGAATAGTGTTTATTTTGATGGAATTTTTCCCGCTATTTGTGACGACAAAAAAAAATTTCTCAACGCGCACACACTTTATGACAGATCGGAAATAATCATATTATTAATTTTTTTATAAGATAACGGCGTGATGGTCATTGTATGAATACACCAAAATTAATCAGAGAAAGAAACTGTTGAATGAAAAATGTTTTGTAAATGTACATATACAATTATAACTGTATCAAAAGGGATAGTTTGCAAAATTTAAAAAAACCCTATGGCACAGCACTCAGCATATTATGACTACACGAACGAACGAAAAAAAAAATTGATTGCAGCAAGTTAATCTAATCTAAAAGATGACTTAATGAGGTTGAAGCGAGCGCGTTCAAACATTATAATAAATATCTATACATATGTCGGTTGCTATGATTTTTGATTTATGGCCGTCTATGTGATTGTAATTATTCACATTTAGCAATGGAAAAATTCAATTCGATTTTATACACGCTCTTAATCTTGGGGTGTGTAAGTATATGGATCAAGTGCACCGCATCGTGCACCGCATTTAATTTGGTTCTAATTGTATTTTATTGATATTTTCACACAGATACACACGAAATAGCCAATCTCATTGATTTTATGGCTGTTAACGATGCATACAGTACACATCGTGCACATCAAGTCCTATAAATGGATAATCTATATTATTCAAATGACAGCCACGACAGTCGATCAATTAATTCAGAAGTCTTTTTTCTGATATTCAATTCGTCGTAATTTTTTTAAATAATACCAAACGATAATAATGATTTTTGCGCTTCGTAAAACATGTAGATTATCACTCGTTCAAACTGGTTATGAAAATTATATTCATTAGCGCAACTGATTCTATGCACATTTAGCCATGATTGTACATTCGATGGTTGCTCTTAATCATTTCTCGTCTGGCTCTGGCTTTTTTTCGGTATATACAACGTAAATGCACGCACACAGTATGAAAATCGCCAAACAATGTCCATTTATACGGATTATGTGAACAAATTTTTTTTTTGCTTTGAATTACTTTAGCCTTGGCTTTAGAATCAGACGATTGTCATCTCTTGCAGGTGTCATGCTAATAATTCTAATATTTTATTTGCTAAAAGTTAATATGCAAATGCATTTTCAACAAATCAATGAATTAGAATCGCATGAGTGCTCATGACATTTATAATTCATAATAAAATTGATAATGGCGTCAAATGCAATCAGAGCATATACTGAGCATAGATATATATTCGGGATATTTTGTGAGTATCCGATATTTATCGCAGCCAGACATTATAATGGAGTGAAAACAATAGAAGTGATTGTTATAGGTTTAAGTATAAAACCATTTACATTACTACAATCACTATAACAATAACTTCTATTGTTTTTACTCTATTTCAAAGTCTGGCTCCAATGAATATCGGATACTGACAAAATATCCAGGATATATATCTATGCTTAGTATATGCTCTGAATGCAATGCAAAATCAGTTTGCACATTAATTTTTACAATTATATGTATGCATAAAATTACTTGGCACAAACGAAAATGACCCCAAAGTTTAAAAAAAAATTGGATGATCTCCAAATGACTGAAATACAATAGAAAACGGCGCCCGTCTACACCAATATAGAAAATGGCATTTGTTCATTATGGCACATTAAAAAAGGCGACTAAATCGCAATCGAACATTGGTAAAGTGTCGACGTCGTTAATTTATGGTTATGGGTTCTAGTTACAAATTAATTTATGCAGTTTGACGAGATGTTCACCAAGGAAAAAAAAAAGTGGTGACATTTATTTATCTAATAATTGTTAGCAGTTCTTAAAGTTTGTGTGAGAGAATTTTTAATACAAAAAAGTGTCCGTATGGTTGTCTGTTGAAAATGTCACTCGAATCGACATCGATATGCGTGCTTATACTCGAACAATGCGAACTATTTTGTGAAATAGTTCGTTTGCAAATAAATTTAAATTCATTCGTGTAGACTGAAAGGGAATGAAATATTTGTGTCGCTGTAGCTTATACGGTAGCGATTGTCAAATATCAGTTTCATTGGAAAATACTTTAAATAAAGAACGTTTTATTTGTATTTAAATTATGAAAAATACTCGACATTTTATTATAAAACAAACGTTGAAGAATGATATAATTGTATCGAACTTTTTTCGGTACAAAAACATATGAAAGAAAGAAAAAATCGAAATTTCATGAGATGAAGAGATAGAATAAAGAAATTTATTAGTAACCATGAGTGGCTAATCTATTTTTACTGAAAATTCACAATTTCTCTGAGTGAGAGGTGCTGCCATGGGGCCACTTTGCTTCGAAGAATGTGGGCTTGAGCACATATAAACTATATTAAATTGTATAAGAGACAGACGACAGTTAATTTGACGAAGTCGACATGTTCGAGTTGGCTTTATTTTATATATATATATATACAAATTTTGTTCACTCATGAAAATCGTTGGGGTACGAAAAACACGAGAGTGTGAATACGCGCACGAGAGACAAAAAAGCAAACGATACTGACAGGCCAAACACGAACACGTTGTTTTTTATTTCGGCTACTTATTTTGTTGTGATACATTTTTGGCGCGTGCACGCATATATGTCAGTTCCTGTCAGTTTGTATGTGAACAAGGATTAGAGTTACTATAGTTCTTTTTCTGCAAGTAGGATATGTTATGGGTTTTAAATTGCTATAGGCTCAAAATATATACACATGTGTAAACAAAACTGGTTTATCATCATACATTGTTCAACGACACAGAAATATAAATATATATAAATGGTACGCTCAGGCCATATAGCTCATAAAATTTTATTATATATCGTTCAAAACACGAGAAAATAAACTAAGGAAACAGTACGCATTATCATACACGTGTCACACATACGTACTTACTGGGCTGTTCTTATCACACCTTTCGGCAATGCACCTAGGTAACCCCGACACGTGTAGTTCTCACCATATAAACCCACCCAAACTGACAGATATACAAAAAAACACTGATTCATTCCGAGGCATGATAACATACTGAACCAATTTTAGCAACATCATTTTCCAACTAACAAAGTGAAATCAATAACTTTAACCTTCAATGAATTTTGGTCATCATCATGTGTGAGGACAAAACTATGACGAATGACATGCTTTTATTTTGTTCAATAAAAACAATGGAAATTGCTTTTTATCATAATAGCGTACGCCAAATTTATTATGAATCAAATCGAAACAGAAATATAGAAACGTTGATGAAAGCATTTAGTAACGACCAAAATGACCTATGTCATAAATTGACTTGCATTTTTCACAGTCCCAATTATTGAGAGAAACAAAGCTAATTGCTTATTTTAATTGCTCAATTTATTAATCGCTTGGGATGTACGATGTGTGCTGACATCGACATAGACGACAACCAAGGATTTGATTGCAACACAAATAGAGACGACAAATTACATTTCCTATCTTCTTCATCGTATGTCTTTGTCGTCTTTGTCACAATGTGATTTTGCTAAAGCAATCGCAAATGAAATTTTGAAAGCAGAGACTAAACCATTTTTCGTTGAAGAATGTTTTTTTTTTTCACGAGTATATTTTGAAGGATGATTTTTCCATAGTTGGCCTTGTTTTAGTGTCTAGTATCACGAGAAGTAAGGCGCCTTTGAGACGTTCTGAATTCAAATAGCTATAGGAAATACTTTTCACATTTAACACACACCGCACGACATGCTGCATCCAATTCAACTTTCGATGTTCAGAAGCGACAATTGCTTAAGTCGGTAGAAAGAAAAATTCTGCACTGGCATTTAGTCTTCCTTTTGGCAATGAGAAAAACCCTTTCAATACACACAAACTGGGCATTATTCTAATGATAGTAGTTTATAAATAGAAGAAGAGAACATTCTACTTACATTTTTCAAATCATGACTTCTTGTGTGCTACTTCTTGAATTATCAACTCAATTCAAAGAATCTGATCTTAACTGATTCAAACATTTAAATGGTATATTTTCCCCTACAAACAAATCCGTAAATGTGAAAAGGAAGAGTCCAAATTAAGCTTGAAAACGTGCGCTCGACATTTGGCTGCGTCATAGAAATTATTCATTGAACCGGCCACTTTTTATTAACCATGTCGATGAGTTTTGGCAAAGTTCCTTCTGGATATATGTGTGTATGTGCTGATATTTCACTTTCATCTCTGATGAGTATCCTATGTTAAAATAGCAATTCACCAAAAAAAATCTGTCAAAGGGAATTTCATCATTACACACTTTTTTCCGTTTGATATATAGTACACGACCCTTTTCAGTATCGAATATAAAAAGAGATAATCTAAAGATAGAGAGAGAGAGAGAGAGAGAGAAATGCAATGATTGCGAGCAATCAAAGGAATTTCCCCGAAATAAGAAACGTTACCTAGTAACCAGATTGTAATAAAACTGCTTGAATTTTTTTTTTATAAAAGACGAGATGGAAAGTGAAAAGAAATTTGATAATTTTACGATGAAATATGAACTGATGGATATAATTTAAATGACATAATTTGATTGCAAAAGCTCACTCAAGTCATAATACATTTTCATCACATGGAAAAAAGAATATTTCTTTTCGTCATTCCAGTTCCAAAGACGATTTTTCAAATACGGTAAAAAATATAATAATAAAGAATCAGAGCTGAAAAAAGCAGCGAATAAATTAATGAATTATATTTGTGTTTATGCGAATTACAACTAACAAATTTAATGACCGTATTATATGATGATATGTGACAATAGTAAAATGTTGTCAAAATGCGAATTGAAACGCATATACATACAATGTCATCAAATTGAAATAAGCTAAAAAAAAATCTGCCAGTCAAATTCATCAAATCTATCATTCAGTGTTTATGATTGGGAGTAAAAAAAAATTACGAAAGTTTTTCTAAGTCGTACAAAGTGTAGGTGACGATAAATTTATCGAGCGAACAAGATGAAAATCACACACACACACACACTCTCTGAAGAAAGCTGTATCGATGTTAAAGTTATATTCGTAACGATTGGCAAACTGGCGCCTCTTTTCCTGATCAATTCTATACGAAATCCGGTGTGTTTGTATATGAAAGTGTGTAGCAAGTTTTGTCTGGGCAATATATTGAAAGTGCACAGCTTTCACATTTAATCAAATAAATTTTTTTTGATACAGACACTTTCCCGAATGCTATAACCGAATATGCTTTTTGTGTAATGACATTTTCGCAGCGGGTATTGTGAAAGCGCATTTTTTCGGAGTGATTTGAATGTCTCAGAGTGTGTAGGTTTTTCCACCGAAATCACAGTGCTATATTTGCCATCAAAATCAATTAGAGATTACAGCGATATCAAAATATTGACAATAAAATAAAAATGCTGTGCATATCAATTCTGAAAATAGATAAGGACGATGACTTTGTGTAAGTGATTTGGATGTGCGTATTTGGTTGAGTTATATATATATATCGATTTCGATACGATGATATACTCACATACACAGCCAGCTGGATAAGATTTTTGGCAATAGTGAGAAACTTGACGAAAGCATCTCGTTTATATATACAAAAGTCAACATGTATAAGATGGTGTTTGTCAGATTTTACAATGTGTTTATACAAGATAGAATGCGGGAAAATCCTTTGTTTATGTCTCAACAATTGCTTAATTATATCCACAAGGTATATAATCAAATTCAAGTCTAAACAATGCAGCCAAAAAAAGATCAAACCGCCGGAAAAAACGACGAAGAATTCGAATGTTCATTTTTAAACCGTTTAAGTTAAATATATTTCATTCAGAACAAATTTTATTCGTTTTTTTTTTTTTTCAATTTTTCCAACAGAATTCGATTCGTCATAATTTATCGTTACATAATCGTTTTATGCGCGTACAAAATGAAGGCACCGGTAAATCAAGTTGGTGGATGCTTAATCCAGATGCAAAACCAGGTATTTATACTAGATTATGAGCACTTTGAATTGCTCAGCAGGTTGGAAAAATGTGTTTATTTCATGAAAAAGCGAGATAAAGATAGAATGTGCTTAAAATGAGGATCATTGACGCTGGGATGTATATAAATGACGATAGCTCTTATCCATTACGACACTCGATCCAAATAAGATTTGGTGAAATAACTCCAGTACCTATTGACCTCCAGACGATTATATGAAGATGATAATATATATATATATATATATATCTTGTTGAACTTTGATGGGGTTTTAGAAAAAAGAATACTTGATTTAACTCTTCATTTCAACAAAAAGAAACACTATAAGATTACACGATTTCGGCTCTCTTTTTATGTAAAATCTACAAAATTTTAGATTAACTTCAGATACAAATAAGATAAAATAAAATACGAAAATTCATAGTATGTATTCTATTCCATCACATCTTTGCGAGTAAATGCGATTTGACCTTCATTTTCAAGCCATTTGTCGTTTCGGAATATATTTCATTCAGTTTCAATCATTTTGGAATGAGTGGGAAATGAATGAAAATATTTTTGTGGGCTTCCATTTTTTTCTGTCGTTCATCAAATTACCCTTAATTTAGCTTATTTTTGTGATAACGTAGCAACAAGTTCGTTGTCAACTGAAAATTTTGATAAATATGGGACTCAATTGGTTTCTATGGCAAATAAATCAAAAAATTTAAATTCACATTTTTTCTTTGTCAAGAGACTCTCGCTTTTTCTACGCACCTGTTCAATGAGTAACAAATTTGAGTGGATTCCAATATTTAATTTGATTTCATTACCGCTTGTAATTCATTTGAATAGGAAAATCGGTGCGAAGACGTGCAGCATCGATGGAAACATCGAAATACGAAAAACGGCGAGGTCGTGTGAAAAAGCAAGTGGAAAATTTAAAGAACGGCGGCCTAGCGAGTAAGATTACTCTTCAAAAGAAAAACAGTTTGAATTTTATTTGATGATGTCTAATACAGATTTTTTTCCTTGTTTGTATTTTCTCTTGAAAATCATGTAGGTATGTCTGGAATGAACGAAGCATCTTCACCAAGCAGGTAAATTTTCTTTCTGAAATGAAATATTAAAGTACCATCAAAGAGAAATTTCATTAAATTTTTTTTTTCGATTTTTTTTTCATCTCCTATTTACCATATCCTCATTTGTAGCAGTATCAGTGAAGGTCTAGATTTATTCCCAGACAACAGTCCACTCCTTAAGTAAGTTAAATATTCAATTAACTTCATCCCAATTAGTAAGAAAAACTTGTACATAATTTGCAACGTTAATCTTGAGTATTTTAATTTACCAGATTCATCCTCCCTTTCTTCTAAACATTAACGATTAATTTAGAACGTTCTTTTTTTGTTTCTTGTGTATGTGATGGATTGCTTAAATATTATTTACAATTGTCAATGTCTTTTTTCTTTTTTTTTTTCAATTGCAGTACTGGTTTTCAACTGTCGCCAGATTTTCGACAGAGAGCTTCTTCAAATGCCAGTTCTGTTGGTCGGCTCAGTCCAATACCATCCGTAGTAGTCGATTTGGATCCAAGCTGGAATCAGTACACTTCACTATCTCAGGATTTTGACTCCAATACTATTGGATGCAATAATCTGCAGGGAACTACAGATGGTGCCATCCAAATAAATCAATGTGCCACATTGGATCAATTGGCTGGCTCATTGGCCGACGAATTGAATATTCAGAATGATTTCATGCAAGGGTATGTTTACATTTTTAACAATTACAGAAACATTTTTCTGATTAAATTTATTTTGTTGAAATATCAGATTCAATCCAGTTGTCACTGTGCAAAATCAACCACCACCACCTCCGTATCAACAGCCATCTCAAACGTTTTCTATGAATACGACAAATGCATTGCCAGCGTATGCAGTGCAACAACAGCCAAATCAATGTCCCATCCATCAACGCCAACCATGTTCTTGCTCACAAAATTCCACGGAGGTTAGTATAATATACATTCCGTTCACTTTCACTCCCAATGAATTTCCATTTGTTTGAAGTTCATTCAATATGTGCTAATAACAAAATGATTCGATATGTTTATTTCGTTCTTTTTCTGCTATTATGATTGACATGTGCAGCAACACGTAACACCCCCATCATGTATATCGCCGGCTTATCCAAACAACGATATCCAACAAAACTTTAAAGCAGCTATCAATTCGATTAAGGTGTCACCTGTCAATACAACGCCAAATCTCGTGAAATCGAACACCAATAAAGGTATGTCACACTACGGCAATAATATATTGATCGTCTCATGTTACTTTTCGAATAGTAAATTTCAATATCAAAGTTACGGTGTCGCACAACACAATTTCTGCCACAAGTGGACATTTCATAATCGTTCTTGATAACATTTCATTTCATCGTGTTCTCATATGTTTCGTATAATTTATTTTCGCAATCTCACTTCGAATACTAGTTCGAAAAATTGAAAACGAATGAATAACTTCAAAATTGTTACCATTACGAATTGAACTTATTTTAAATTTATGTTTTTCGTCCTTCACGCAAAAAAAAACTCCCTGTATTCAATGAATAATAATTATGAACATCTACTTAATTTTGGTTTCATCGTAACTGCCTCCAAACAAGCATGTAATTTTCGAAAGTTTAAAAGCGTGTGCTTCATTGGTTACAATGAATCCCTCAAGTATTTTCGCGTAGAGAATTTTTCCCCGAAACGTTCACTTTTAGCAAAAAGAGGGAAGAATATCATTATTTATGTATTACCATTTTTCAATTTACATGGAAAGTATTTCGAATGGAATGTGTTGTGCGAAGCAAAACCGGTAACTATGTGAACGACATCGATGCGATAATAACAAACAACGTTCAATTCAAATGGGTGGCTTTTAAGCAAACGTTTAATTTATTAAATTGTAATCCCAATGATTCCAGATCCTACCGATATGCCATCAACATTAATGGGCCAGTTCATGGAAGCCTTGAATAGTCAAACTAATTTGGATGATTTGAATTTGAATATCGATAGTTTTCAAGGTGGTTTGGAATGTAATGTTGATGAGGTAAGTTTATCGACCGACCTACCAATATTGGCCCAAATAAAAAAATTAATAAATAATTGTTTTCTCATTGACAGTTGATTCAACAAGAGTTGAACATTGATGGATTATTGGATATAAACATACCAACACATTACACCGGATCTCATTTAAACCAAGCACAGAATACATCGATCGGTCTACCATTGCCTCAACAAAATGACGCAACTAAATTGCACAGCGTTCAATCAACAACACAGTCAGCTGGCGTTACGTCACCATCTTGGGTACATTAGAAATGTTCGATTTTTTACTTGCCCATGATTGTCTTTTTCATTCTTCTAATACGTGCGCGCTCGTATAGTAGTTAGACGAAAAATACAACAAAATAAATGAAAAAAAGAAAACAATGGATGAAATAATTTAGTCAAAAACGCTTATGTTAAGTAGTAATTGTCGTTATATCGATGTCATTCACTACCATCCACCACCGTTTTTTTAGCATCAAGTAGTGTGTAATATAGAGTTACGCCAAATTTGCTGTTTGTGCGTAAATCCGTTACTAAAGTAACAAGTCTGTTATACGCAAGCAGTTTGACTCGTGTAGATATTCAAATTGCGACACCCCAATCGTCGAATATTACCAATTACTTTTAACACGAGTCATGACCCATCCCCTTTGTACCTATGTTTGGTTCTGAACGACAAACAAAAAACAAAAATACCAACATTTGAAAGAGCAACATTTTGATGAATACACAAAGACTCGTTTCGATCGATTAGTGAAAGAGTGAGTGGAAGTTTCGCCGCGGTATTCGAATTGTATGCCAGACCAAATAATATTATAGTCGGTCTCTCACTGTCTCTTTCTTCGGGTATGCTACAGTGCCGATTTAAGGACATCAACAGCATTGAATATCTACACAAGATAAAATGGTTTATCGATAGGCAGAATATAATAAGAATATTTTTATAAAGACAATTTTCCTTTTGCTACATTTTTCATGTTTCATTGACTGGTTATCTGTGTTCAGATTTTCAAACCACATGATTATTCGATTTGATTTTCATCGATATACTGAATTTTCCAGCATAATTCAAATTCAAGTGTTCTAACTTGTGAGTTATACAATTCTGTCCATGGCAATTACTAATTATAATGGACGTTACAATTGGATTTTATTGTTTCCAGTTCGAAATTTATAGCCAGAATGTTGCCAATCAACGGAATGACAGTAAATTTGGCAAAGTCGTGGATCGAAATCGTTCAGTAAATTTATTATGTGCTTTCTTGGTCAAAATCTTCTGTTTGCTTGCTGTTTTCACCAACGTTATACACGCTATTCAGTTCAGTTTGGAAACCAAATCCATTCCAATCTTAAAATTGAAGCCAGAACATTTTGGCCACACCAAGTCCGATGATCGTTTGATATGTCTGTTTTGAATTGGTGACATTTTGGTGATTTGATCCGAGTCATGTTGATGTCCATCTCCATATGTACGAAAATCAAAAAAAAAGTTTATGCAAATTTGTGAAATCAGTGAAACCACGAAGCCTTTGGCCACCAATTTTAATCCCATCGATACCAAATCCTGCTGTATTTTCTAGATGATGATGTCAGCAGTCCATTGAACTAGGTGTATAAGAAAATGGGTCAAAATGACGTTCTCAATATGGGTCAAAACAATATTACGCGTTTCTTCGAGAAATGATGAACGTTTTAAATATTCGCCGAAGAATTCAAGCAATATACAATCTTTATTTTCGCTGTACAAAGCTTTTCAATTTATTTTTTATTTTTCTTCGAAACTAAAGTAATTTAATGGGAAAATGATTACTATCGCTTCATTTGAAGATGTGCTATAGTTGTTGATTTTTCGCAGAACATCGAATTTTCATCCAATCAGACAATGGAATCTACAGCAATTGATTTTGCAACGACATTTTGTCATTTCAAAGTCAATTATTTGTGGATTCACATTTAGATTTTACTTAGATTTCATGATGTATAGTTGTTTGAATTCTTTGTGATCAAGATGGATTTTTTGTGAAATTTCGTTCCAATGTTTTCTCTGTTGACGTTAATTTAAACATGTGGTAATTCAATGAATTTCTGAACAACGTAAAGCGTATACAAAATACACACACTTAAATGTTAAATGTGCCAATAATTATACATATTTAGAATTATGTATAACGTGCTAGAGTAGAGACAGTTGAACGCACAGGTGCAAGGATTCAAAAAAATGTTTACAAAATTCGATGAGAAAAAGATTTTTGGAGAAAAAAATGTCATCATTTTAAATGATATTTCGATTTGGTGTTCGTTACATGAAAATATGCTGAAATTCAAAACGCTTATAAAAGGAAACGCATTTATTCAATTAATTTATTCAGCTAAAATGAAAATCATGTGTTGAATGCCACGCACATTGTTGAACTGAGACATCGACAAACGTTGCATTAGAATGTAACGAAATCGTTTGATTCGTGGATCGAGCGATATTTTGCTAATTATATTCGGAAAATCAGAACTCAAAATCGCATTCAATATTCTATGAATGATATATCTGATGCGATGATTTATGTATTAAGCAAAATTCATATTTTTGTAATGAAATTAGAAATGGGAATTTTATTTTCCAATTGCGTACATTGTTCAATGATAGCGATATAAAACATTGTTATGAGTGTGACTCAATTTGTAAATATTTTAACAAAAAGTCTATTGACTTCGCTTGGTGACGAATCGGTTGAAAACAACCAAAACTCAATTGATTTGCATAATGTGTTTGATTTGCTATATACATTGCTTTTGTCGGCACATACACACACACATTCTCTCAATCGATTTTGAGAAAATATTTTGAAAATAATTTGCAAAAAGTGTCTTTTGGATCGAATGACAAACGATGGCAAAGTGAGTACGACTTTTTTTTCCAAAATTTATTGTTTTGTGAATGCCCAAAATTTCATCAAATGAAATTCAAAATGAATATAAATAATAATTTATTGACACGTTGACAAATGTTTAGCAAAATTTACTATCCGTATATAGAGGAATTATATTGATATTTTACAATAATTATTATGTGCATCTAGCCGATAAGTGACAAATGAATGTTATTAAAAAAATATGTTGAAATATAATGCAGAGAAATAAAAATGGTTATCGTAAGTTTGTTGTTTAAGTGTTTTAACACATAACCAATGTAATGAGTTAGAGTCCAGTTGAAATTGAATTGTCAGAAATAATATAAACACACATTGTCGTGCTAAACATATTCAGAGAAATATCGATATAGGATAAACAACCTTTCAATATGCTGATCATGTCTTCTATTTTTTTTTGTTAATTTATGCTCTTGTTCAATGTTACGTAATTCATTTTCTTGCAAAGACAATAAGTACCACCAAAAATCTCTGATACAATTCATATAAACTGCGAAACTGAAAATTGAAATAATAAAACGAAAAAAAAAAACTTGGGAAAAATCAACAGTGTTTCATTTAATTTTGTTGTTTTATCTAGTACGAAAACATCAAAGTATCACGGTATGTAATGATTCATAAAGAATTTCTCGTTGGATTTCATAAAATATGACAAACATCGGTTGTAGTTATCCGTTTCAATTTTAAGTTGAAATAAAAACCTTACAAATGTTATCATGATGGCAAATTCACAATAGTACCACAAAGTAGAAAACACACACCTTAAACACGCTTCTCTAATAACTGAAACCTATCAAAAGACGTGAATTGAACAAATGTTCACAATAGCAACCAAATGTTCAAATTTATTGAGGAGTTATGAGATTTTGAGTATTTTACATAATCAGCTGTTCATCATTCTCGTGAAAAGAGCATCCGATCCAAAATTCAGTTTTAGTAAAAAAAGGATACAGGAAATTGTAGCAACAGCAACTACTAATTGAATGTCAAACTTCGAAGTTGTCAAAAGTTAAAATTGAAAGAAAAAACTTCAATAAGCCTTTTCATTTGACTCAAATTCGCAGAAAATGTTCACTTTTATCGTGTATAGGTGATGTAATAGACTTTATGCTGTCAAAATTGAAGTGGATTTATTGAGGCTGTAGTTCTTGATAGTTTTGCACATGATTCATCTCCCTTAATAAAGACACATATAAGCTTAATCCTCTTTTCATATATTTTTCAATGGTCAAAACAATCACATACATACACACAACGCCGTCCAGAATTTCATCTGACTAATTGAAATTGCTGCGATGCAAGGATCACCTGATGCTCTGTCTCCCCCCCTTTTTCGCTTTCTCTCTTCCGCTTTCGCTGAAACAATTTCTCGCAGCAAATATTTTGTCAGAAGATAACTTTATTGTCATATCGTTTTTTTGTATGCCATGCACGCCGATTATCCAGTTTTCAGCAAAACACACCACACTACCAAACTTCTATAACGAAGTTCGTCCATGAGATGATAAATGTAACACAGCTTTACTGTTAAAATTATTTCATTTCTCACGTAGCGAATCAAATTAATGCTGCGGTTAACCATGGTGGATGTAAATTTATATCATGGGCTGCTCTTATTAGATTTTTATGCTACCTGCGGTTATAAACCGATTTTTGAATTCAAAGTGTGACACAAATATTTAATGCCCACTAACTCTCTATCTCGGTGTAATTCTGTCTATTTATCGCTTTCACTATAATATGCAGTTATGATTTTTGGTATAGAACAGTGTTTGAGTCGCAAATTATATGCATAGTGTAGTATGTGAAAAATGTTGCTTTTTACGGTGGCATGTCATTCGGTCAGATGTTATGATTTGCGAGAAATAAGCGCCCGTTGCTAAGGGGCCGAAAGTTATAATTTATATTTTTCAATAGTAAACTATACAAATGAATAAATCATTTTACAGGTGACGATGGTAATGTAAAATAAATGTTTTTTCTATGTGTATTGAACGTGAGTTGAAAGCGGTTTTAAGGATTTTAGCTTTTGGCTTGAAACAAAAATAATGAGCAACAACAAAAACAATAACAATAACAATTGTCGCGTAAGTTATCTCCCGCTTTCGCATCACCGTTATGTTAATGTAAATAATTAAATTTAATTAGTTTTACGTGTTTGTAAGAACGGGCACGAAGGTCTTAAGCGATGATATTTAATTTTATAACAATTTCTCTTTCGTCCATCCGTCTCACGTATTATGACTGGCGAAATGAAAGTACGAAAGAAAAACACACGAAACACTTCTAAAACTTTTGCAAGTGAATTCCAGGATTTGTCACTCAATTATTATCGTTTTACACCGAATTCCAACGGGGAATGCAAATTAATTGGAGACTCATCAATAACTTTTGGTCGCTCTACATTCATTTTCAATGTGATAAATCTGTGGTACTATATCCAAAAGCCAATTTAATGTGTCAAACGAGAGCACTTTTCTAAATAATAAAGCAAATTTTAATTTGGCTCATCATTCATCAGAAAACAAGTAAACAATGTGCGTGTTTGTCTCTATGTGCCATGATAGCCATCGCATGATGAAAATTAAATCGTTATTCGAAGCATTCGTTTGGAAAAATGTATGAGTATAGATAGGTACTTATGAACGCGAGATGCGTTGCAAATGACAATGTTTCCGATGCGTTAAGCAAAAACAATCACGATAAAAACAACAAACAACCATACCAAAGCGTACGCATAGAAAATCATTCGGAAAAAAGAGCACTTGGCCAAAATCGCTTTGAATTCACACGAATGAATGCGAAATCTCTAATTTATAGCTCGTATTTAATATTGTCCATTTTTGCCTAACAAATGATAATCCCAGGTCTCTTGCTCTCTCTCTCTCTTCCCCCCACCGCTCACTTGCCGGATATTACGATAAATGGCTGTAAATCATGTTGTTTTTCTGTGTGTATCATCCCATACACTATACTTTATATATGACGGAGTATACGCGTGAAATTTTGTCGTTGCTTTTTATCCGTTCCGCGTTTCGTTCACTCTCTATCTTTTTCTGTGTGTGTACGTTGTTTGGTCGTTTTTGTTATTGGCTTGGGTCTTTCACTTGGCCTTTTACGTCTGTTTCATTTTCATTTGTATTCAGGCGAAAATGCGCTTTTTTTCTTCTTTTCCGTGTTGTTCATTTCATTTGTATGTTCAAGTTTTCGCAAAAATGTCAAATACGTATTAAGTGATCTTGCTAAAGCTTCATCAACTCTATGTATGAGGGTAATTAGTTATGCGTCCGATGAGAAAAAGTGAGGCACACAAAACTCCCAGTAAATTTTTATTGGGTCAACAATCGTTAATTCTCTCTGTGTCCATGTCTGTTCGTGTCTCCGTGTGGGTGTGGGTGTATATGCATGGAGTGCGTTGAATACATACACACGACCAACTTATCCACATATGATTGGTGTGCTGTGTTCTTTTTACAATTCGGTCGCATTAATTACACGCTTATATTAAAGTAGTCAAATGCTAAGGGCCAAATTGAAAGAAGAAATAAACCAACTCTATTTTACCTATAACTAAATCAAACAATCCAAAAGTAAGCCATTTAAGACCACAAAATTTGGTCATTGCGATTAGATAAGAACACATCTTTTCTGTTTATGCACGCCATCGGACTCAATCTCCTTCCAAATGTTTACTGTTGTAAAATAGCGGGCATTATGTTGATTTATTTGAACCAGTTTTATCGAAAGTGATTTCCACTCAATTGAGAGTTGGCTTGCGTGTCCATTTAAAATTGCTTTTGTTGATATTTTCAAAATCCAAACAATTCATTTTTGCACAGAACACATCGTATCCTTTTAATATACGCAAACAGGTCAAGCATTGTTATTATAATACTAGATAGTATGGTATATTGTAAATATACATATAAATTGAACTGAACTGATTTTGAGCACTCAAAAACGATGTAGATCGTTGCTGCTGCTGTTGTTTTCGTATGCTGAAAAGAAAAGCTCCAAGTGCCAAAGTATATAGGTTTTTGACTGTTTGTTTACAAGTAATACGTAAACCAGTACTTACATCATACTCCTTAGTTAAACCGTACATCAAATTCGACGATTTTGTGTTCGGTAATCTCAAATACTATTTATTTCTGATTCACTTCATTAAGTTTATACAAGTTGATAGAACATTTACAAGAATCATGTTAATCAGCTAGATGAATAAAAAATCAAGAAAATTTGTTATTACGAACGATTTTCGGACGATGTGGCCAACCTGATATCACACTAACCAATTCTCAATTGTTCGACTATAATCTAATCCAATCTTACTTACGTTTTATACTAACAAAGTTTTCCAAATATAAAATCCAAATGTTTGACCGTAGCAGGTGTCTTTCCAATCTGCTCTCATATATATTCCTTGAATGTTTTAGGCAATCTTTGCTCAACAGATTTTGAGCCAAGTTTGTTTCGAGCTCACACTCACTCACTCTATAACGTTTCATCCAAACATTATCGCATCGGTATATACGGTGTTCAGTTCAAAACCGATAGTACTATGTCAACGGTATGGTTTGTGACCAGATTGCTACTAGATGTGATATTAGCACTCATGAATTTTCGTCTAGATATTTTATTGTTTTATTTATACGAAAGTTTTGTGTTGTTTACACTCAAAACGATGGAAACATACTTAATTTTATGCATGTGAACGAATTTTCAAGAAGATTGAAGTGTATGTACTTTTACTGTACAAATATTGACCGAAGCCATTTGATTGTTGTTTTTGCACAATGATGATGGGAGTGCTCCAATTTTTGGCTGAAATTAGTGGTACTTTACCTCTTTCTCTTCTCTTCTCTGCGTCGTGTTGTGCGGTATTTTCGAAAGGAAATTTTCTCTAATAGAAGCAAAACCGTTAAGGCTTTACTACAGCCCCTTCAAAATGGAATTTCTATCTAATTTAAATACGACATTTTAGAGCTAGAGTGTTTGAAAGCAGCAGCAGTAGCAGCAGCTCCAATGACAACAACAGAGATCAAAAAAGAAAAACTATTCTCTATTCTACTGCTGGTGCTGGGCTACTAATTATCCGAATCATTACACTTGAAGCAGTAATTGGAAATTAACGATTTGTGATGAAACAACGACAACAAAAACTACCAGCACCAGCACACTACTGCTGCATAATAGTTGTCATTGAATAAGGTCGGCATTGCTATGGCATATTGCAGTGTTGTCGTTGTTATGTTCATCTTGGTGTGCATGTGTATGTGTGCCAGTGTGTAAATAACAGAGTGTTTTTGAGTACAACGAGCTATTTTATGTGTCGGAAAGTTTTGTAGAAGAACAAAAAAAAAATATAAAATTGAATCGCTTGCAGCATCACACGATCCGGATTCCGGGGGTAGACAGATAGTAAGAGAAAGACAACGGAACAATAACGAAGAGTTGTGCTCAACAACTCTCATCGATCTTTCGATTCATAGCCGGCAATAAAGATAAATGAATGGTAATTGCACCATACTA